CCACCAGAAGATAGGAGATGTGTCATCTGCGACCAGGATGGGGTCTACAAATGTCAAGATTGTCTTGTGGAGCCACTCTATTGCACTGGCTGTTGCAGAAGTCCAACATCTTTGCAATCCCTTCCACTGGATCAGTCAATGGAATGGTCAATTCTTCGAGCAAAGTTGTCTCGCTCATGTCGGGACTTGTCATACACCTTGGTCATGAGGGCAAACAATGTCCGGTACTTACAGATAGGTGGGATTTGTTCAAAGAAGACGAACCGAAAGACCAGCTTGAGCCTGAAGATCTACCATCTGTGTCGGGAACCTGAGTTCCAGCCGAAGGAAAACACCATGGTCATCATTGACAAGTCCGGAGTTTCATCACCTCCAGGTTCGATGCTGCGATTGTCCAAATGCCATGAGTCCAGACCTTCAAATGTTTTCAACATGGATTTTTCCCCGCTTCATTTAACAAGCCGAAGACTTTGTTCACCTTCGGGTTCTCGATGATTTTCTATTGGACAACCTTGAATGTGGGACCTCGGCGATGAACTATTACAGCAAGCTCCGGCGAATGACCTCGAGCATGTTTCCACACCTTGTACCAGTAATGCCATATATCTCTCATCTAAAGGACATTATATTGACAAAGCATGTGGCAAGGACCGATACCGAGAGCTCATGGGAGTCGCCCAACAGTGGAGGCAGTTGAAGATGATGAAATGGCATGGCTTTGGCCATTGTGCTGACAGCCTGAATGCAGGAGATCTCACATTATTTTGCCTGGCATGTCCTTAGCCTGGGATTAATGTGTCCTTGGCAGGGCATGGATCACTTGATGAGTGAGTCTTCTTCAATACTGAAGTCACCTCAGTGATAATAACAACTCCAAGGTCGAAATACACCCGGTCATTTGTTATGGATGGAAATTTCAAAGCCAAACACCTGCATCCCATGAAGCTGCTTGATGAAGTTTGGCTGTCAGATGGGTTGGGATTCATGGTGGGAAAGGACAGGTATAAAATGCATCTTGCAGAGGCTGCCGACACTTTAGAAAAATCAAGCTGCAACAATCACCGGGCAGTAAATCAAGCAAATGCGGCTCGGCACAAGCTGGAATCCACGGGCATTGGGGGAGTAGCCTGTGCTCGACACGGTTGCTTTGTTCCTCACTTGATGGTAGATTTTCAGAAAGGCAAAAGGCAAGCCGACCCGGCCATTTGACATTCACGAGTTAACCATGCATCATTTGCAGACAAATGAACATGGACTATGCACTTTGTGAGGCTACCCGGCACAACATGGAAGGCATCACAGGGCGGTCACCTTCTATGATATCAACTGTCAATACAACAAGCACTTTCGGGTTTGGGTGGATCGAAGCCGATTTCTCAAAATGGTTCCGGAATTGACCATCATTCCCGGAATCGGGTTGTGGCACATCCATGGACATAAGGACAGCTGCTACAGTGGCTCAAAAAACCGTCCGTATGTTTTGGCATTTTTCACTATCTATAATATTGTGTGAGAACAAACAAATGCCTCAAAAACATGCTTATACCACATTGTAGTATGGCTTCAGGGCTTTCATTTGAGCCCTACACCGTGGGAATCGGTGGAGATATGGTGGAGATACAAGGCTCACAAAATGGTGACTCATGCGGACAGTTTTTTGACTCAAGTATTTTACAGTAATAACCAGGTATTCTAGTATTTTGTATGACCTCCCTTGGCTTTAATTACTGCCTCTATCCTTCTAGGCATACTCTCAATTAATTTCTGGCAATCCTCAGCTGTGATCTTCCCCCATTCCACTGCTACTCTCTCCCAAAGCTCCCATACTCCTTTAGGGGGGTTTTCATAGGCTTGAAGCTTTTTCTTGAGTGTTCCCCAGAGATGTTCAATGACATTGACATCAGGAGACTGTGCTGGCCAGTCAAGAACATTGATGTTATGTTCTTCAAACCATTCCCTAGCTCTTCTGGATGTGTGCTTGGGATCATTATCCTGTTGGAAAATGATATCTTCTTCATCAATCCCTGATTCTGCCAAGCTAGGCAGCAAGTGGTCATTTAAAATGTCCACATACTGCTCAGCATTCATCTTCCCCTCAACCTCAGCAAGCATTCCCACACCATTCCATCCCATACAGCCCCATACCATTAAAGAACCTCCTCCAAACTTGACAGTCCCATTAACTCTCTGTCTGTTAGGCCATCTCCCTTCTTTTTCCATACATACACCTTCCCATCTGACCCAATCCTATTGATTTTGGTCTCATCTGACCATATAACATGCTTCCAGTCCTCTACAGTCCAGTGTTGATGAGCTAAGGCAAAGGCTAGTCTTCTCTGCCTATGTTTGATGGAGAGAAGAGGCTTTTTCTTCTTTGTTACTGCCTTGAGATGAGCTGCCTTGAGAACATCCTCACAGTTTGTGAAGAGACAGGGGTAGGTAGTGATGGTGGAATTGATGATATAATGGGTGGCTTGGACAGCATTATCAGCCTTTCCTGTAGTGATATGTTGGATAATAGCCCTTTTGTCAGTAGAGGTAAGCTTGGATGGACGTCCTCCACAAGAGTTTTCCTTGTCTGGGTGGCTTTCTTTGATGAACTTGGCCACAGTGGACTTGCATATTCCAGTTCTAGAGGAAATTTGGCGAGCAGAGAGGCCAGCATAAGACAGAGAGAGGATATTATCTCTTTGAGCAGAGGAGATGGCTTTCATGGTGATTATGACTATGATACATGAGATATTCTGGTTATATAGTTAGATATAGTCATAAAATAACATAATGACACCACTTTATAATTTATATAATAGTGGCATGATTTTTATGGTGTCATAAATAATGATTTATATAGTTTTAATATACACTCAAAAAACTGTCCACATGAGTCATCATTTTATAAGCCTTATATCTCCACCATATCTCCGCCGATTCCCACGGTGTAGGGCTCAAATAAAAGCCCCTGAAGCCATACTACAATGTGGTATAAGTATGTCCTTGAGGAATTTGTTCATTCTCACACAATATCATAGATAGTGAAAAATGTCAAACATGCGGACAGTTTTTTTGAGCCACTGTATGTCCAATATGCGTCAAATTTTATTGAAGGCATCGGTCGGATCGATGGAGAGATCATGGAGACCCTATGGTCACGTCTCAACCTGATTTCCCCCGCTGCTCGGGGAATGTCATCCCCGCATCGAAAGGAATGTCTCGATTATCAGATGAATGATTCCAATTTCTGCAAGATGATCCGCATTAAAAGGACCCTTTGCCGAAAATACAAGCAGGTGAAGAATGGCATCGCTGAAAGTGAAAAGGCTTTCGACAGACTTGATGAAGCAGCACCCAGCAATTCAAAGACAGAGTGGTTAGCCAGCGAGAGGATCCCTCAGTCCAGCAGAATAAATGATCCTGTGGCTATGGATGTATATGAGATTAATATCAAGAAGGGTTAGTTGACTTTGTGTCCATCAAAGTCCAAATTAATTTTGCACTCAGCACCGAGCAAAAAGGAGATCGAGCTTAGACAATTAGAGGAGGGTAATGCCTGAAATGCAACACCAGCTCACAGATCTGTGGCAACATGGATATCAATGGGGCTGGCAATTGAAGAGGCCCAAATTGCATTGCTCATCGAGGTCCGAAGAATTGGTAGAAGAATGACCGAGACACAGAGGTTAGACATCGCCCGGCAACGCGATCATCTCCAAGGCCAGATAGATGGATTCACTCGGTCTGCTATTACGCATCTCAGAGAGGGATTTGATGCAGATGATGATCCTGAAGACTTGGACTTAGACATTCTCGATGATCTCGATGATGACTTGGCAGACTTCACCGAGACATCTGACACATGGGCAAACTCCCCTGAGCTCACTGTAATCCCATTGTCATCAAACCTCAGGGTAGATAGATGCAGACACTGTATGGCAGACGATCTCATTCCACTGGAGACGTCCCTTCGTGAAGGGCAGGCCAATGACTCCCTTCACAACCTCCGAATTCACTTGTGCAACAAGGCGATTCTGTTTCGAACAACAGTTAGGCAAGCCAAATCCCAGGCCCTGAAAACTCGAGCTTGGTCCCAGGTGACGTCAGTGCAGCAGGCAGTGTCCCTCCATGCCAGTATATATACAAAGACGAGGAAGCAAATGATGCAACTGGAGCCACGGCAAGACCAGCTTCAGAAATACAAACACCTGCTTCACGAGCAGCTCAAAATCAGCACTGCCATTGGCGATCCAAATGCCCAAGGTCAGCAAAACGAGTCCCTCGCTTGGTTCTGGTCAGTTGAAGTCGACCTCGGGGGTCCTGATCACTCATGGAATGAGGAATGTGAGTTTGGGCATGCTTGACGTGTCCCGCGCTCAGCTGATGGACCCATCCAAAGTTTACTGAGTTCATTGGCTCCGGGCAAAGGCACTACGGGAATCAATGGAAGGAAGAAATGATGTTGGTCCAATTGGAGATGGATTGGACATGTAACTTTGTCTTGTGGAAAGCAACCCAATGGGGTGACAGGATGCACGAATCATTGGTAAAACACCTTCCAGGTCATGCATGCTACTCGGGAAGGCAATCCCAAATGTATTCATTGCTGGCACAGGATGCCCAGGTGTCATTTCAAGACCTGAAGAGCTGGTTTATAGATGCTCGAGATGAATGAATTTGTTTGCCAAAGATATGAAAAGCTACTTCGACCCAAACATTTCAGTCCCAGGAATTGGCCGGGTCGACCCATGTCAGAGTTTGCCCGGATCAACCAATGTCGGAGTTTGAAAATTTTCATCAATCAACCAGTGGCTCATATCTTCACCTTCGAACCAACTGCCATTGTCATTGTCATTTCCGGCTTCATAATCCTGCATTGACCATGTCTGTATTGCATACTCCTCCTACATCCCCTTCTGATTCTCAGACTTCCAGCAATGGGTTCCGACCCCTCACACTCACTCAGGCAGATATTGCAGCTACAATGTCAATGGCTGCATCTCGCATCCGAGCATCCATCTCTCAATATCAGATGGAGGCTGCCCACACCGAGGAGCCTTCTGCTGCTCAGATCATGCGCTTCAAAGCCGGGCTGCAATGGGAGATAGCTGTAAGAGACTGATGACTGTGGTGGTCAATGCTGACATTTCCAACAGACTTTTGTGACTCTCATCCTGCAGTACTCAGCTGCAAGGAACATCATTTCGGTTGTTCTGAGCCCGGTTGCTCATATTCTTCAGTTGATTCCCAAGCTCACCTGGAACATGGTTCCGGACCACATCTTTTCATCCCACCTATGCCAGTTTCATGATGATGCAGATCTGGGGGATCCCTCCCGCATTGTATCCACCTATGGTACTCAATGGTGGACCGGACCAACTGCCATCCCGAACGAATTATGGCCATGGGATCAGGTATTCGCTAATTGTGTCTGTCACTACCAGCATTGGCTAGTAAGACTTTTACAGAATTCTCTTGAGTGATGACTAATCCTCTCTAGTCTGGCGTTGAGGATGAACGTCTTGTTGTTCCTGAGCAGGTGGATGAAAGCTCGGTTGCAATGCTGAAGGCACTGAGGTGGATGAGGGAACACCTCCTGACAGTGATTGAGGATCAACAAGCTGGCATCCGTGAAAAGATGGCAGAGATTCAGATGTACACCACTGTCCTAAACAAATTGAAGCCAAGGGTAACAGAGTAGTTCTAGTCCTTCACTTCAGAATGTTGAAGTCTAAATTCTGTACATGATGAAATAGGTACTGAAAATTACATACTGACTTTCAAATATCTGACCTATTGCTATATGCCGAGTCCCGCATACCAAATATCAAGTATCAAGATCCAGATATCTTGAGTCCCAAATATCGAATCCCGAACATAGAGTCCCAAATATCAATACCCAAATATCAAGACCCGAAGCCCAAGATTCGAGACTCGAAACTTGAAACTCAAACATTGCTATGAGTTGCCAGTTTTGAGTCCCCACTATCAACCATTGAGTCCCGACTACCGAGTCTTGTCTTGAAACCCGAGTCCCGACAATTGAGTCTTGAAGCCCAACCATCGAGTATCGAGTCCCAAAACCCAACACCCAAAACCCAAGATTCAACACTCGACAAAACTCAAAACTCAAAACATGAAACTCGTGCATTTTTATGAGCTTCGAGTTTCGAGTTTCGATTCTTAAGTTAAGAAATTACAAATTTAATGACATATAATTTTGGGAGTTGTTTTCTTGAATCACCGAGTGCCGGGTACCGAGTACCAAAGCCCGAAACCCGGTACTCGGTAGTTGGTGAAATGTGTACAACATCACTATCGAGTATCCTCGAATATCGAGTCCCAACTATCAAGACCCGAAACCCGAATGTCAAGTATGGAGTGCCTGATATCTAATATCATGTATTTGAAGGTGGGTACTAACACGGGTAACTACCTTTTCTACTTCTTCCAATCCAACCTTGCCCATCCACACGACGGAATCCCGGCATAAATATGAACAGCATCCCTCATATACCATGCCCAGGCAATCTGATCTCCTTCCACTGCATGAACCCCATGTCTGACAATCCTTCCCGAAAACTCAATCATGCACCCCAGATTGTACCTGAACTCCAGCTGAAGGCTTGGCATACTCATCCGAGCATTAGAATAATTCCCCACACTAGTGAGAATATCGAAGCATTTGGAAATTGATGAGGGGTCTCGATGATTCAGGGTTTCCCGATTGCATATGACGGTGAGGCTGTTAAACACTGTTGCCCAGTACTGGAGAGTCTCTGACATCTTCGGCAGTTCCTTGTCTCGTGCCTTTTCTCCGAGGCTCCCAAAGGCTTGCAACCCTGCCCAGTACTGCTCAGGATGCATCACCCTGAGTGCCACTGTGGCAATGGCTGCCGGCCTCGCAATGGCTTTGAGAATGTTCTTGGAAGATGGTCCCTTCAATGATGCAGATACCTCCAGATCAGACTGATTCTATGGGATTGATGAGTTTAACTACCGAGATTGCCATCTCATCAGATCCTACCTTGTGCCCCTGGTGAAACCACGCCAGAGATAAATTCACGCATCCAGGAGTTAGGACATCATTTTCCGAGCTTGGTGTGAACCAATGTTAATTAGTACACCAAATACCATCGAGCTTCATGCTTTTTCGAGCATGGGAGCTAGCCAATCTGAGGCCGCCCAAATTTCCTTTTGTACGTATCATTTGATGTTCAATATCCATCCAGTAACAATATATATAACACACCTGGGTGGCATCGGTCAAGGCGTCTGGGAGGTACCATGCGATGATGGCACCGGATGCATCAAGAATTGTCGCAGGTATGTCAATCAACTTTGTGCCCTCATAGCCAGGAGGACATCTCTCGAGCAACTTTTCCTCTCTCTCTTCATTATGCCCCATGTCCTTCGGGGAGATCAATTTGCTATATCTTGCAATATCAATTGGCATCCGAACTGTGATGAAGCAATTTGACTGATAAAACAAAATTTCCAAATCTGCAGGAAGACTCACTGGGATTTTTATATGCCTTTATGAGCCGATCAACCAATCGATCACAAGCCATCACCAGATCAGTGTCTAGGTTCATAGAAGGTATAACTGGGGCTCCTCCTGTCTTCTCTGCAATGAATTTCTGTTCTGTATAATCACGTGCCACATGAGTGACAGTCAGGGCCCAAGTGCTCAAGAGGGTTATTTCATCATCAGAAGTGGAAGAAACATCCATGATTGAATTGATCTTGTGAGATCAGAAGCTGAATCCTGAATGTCCACACTTTGGTGTTAAAGGGGGTGGAGATAGAGAGGATAAGATAAGGGAGCCTTGGATGATCTTAGTTTTCAAAGATCTATTATCTATTATCATCTATTGCTCAATGAAATACCAGATGATTGGAAGTCTGTTGGATGTCAGATGTTCATTTGTCGAGACCCGGGCCTCAGATCTTGGTACACTTCACTCAATTTTCGATACCCGGGACTCCATACTCGGAACTCGAGTCTCAAATCTTGGGCGTTGGGTGTCAGGTCTCGATGGTCGGGACTCGATACTCGATTGTTGGGATTTGATGGTCGGGCGTTGGGTGTCAGGACTCAAATCTTGGGCTTCGGGACTCGGGTTTCAAGACTCGATAGTCGGGACTCGATAGTTGGGACTCGATTGTGGGGACTCGATGGTCAATTGTTGGGATTTGATAGTCGGGGCTCGGATATCGGTAAACTTCACTCGATTTTCGGTCGTCGAAACTTGGCATTTGGCATTTGGTAGGCTTGGATGATGTTGGCTTTCAAAGATTTATTATCATCCATTGCTCAATGAAATACCAGATGATCGTAAGTGTGTTGGATATCACATATTCGTTTGTCGAGACCTGGGTCTCAGAACTTGGTACACTTCGCTCGAGTTTCCACTTCACCCCTTTGCAAAGCTCCGTGCCATACCACATCATTAGATGTCTTTGAATTATTACCTCCTTTGATTTGGATGATATACAACTAGCTGAGCTCCATCATGTCTACAATTATCATTCTCCTGGGCCCACCCATCTATATTATATACCCCCACATCAGCCTACCTGTCTATGCAATATATGTCTACCATCGGCCCACCCATATATAATACATCTTGCACTGCTCCCTTGGCCCACCCGTCTACAAAATAATACCAATACGTCGGCCCACTCGTCTACAAAATAATATTAATTTGTCGGCCCACCTGTCTAATATGATATATATCTGGGGCCCACCCGTCCACTATGATATATATCTGGGCCCACCCATCTATGTGATAACAAGCACCCTTGATATACCCAACTATTTGATACATATCTACCTTGGTACACCCATCTACATAATATCCAACTACCTCAGCCGATCCGTCTATTGAAAATTCACGTCCATCGGCCCACTCATCTACTTTACATATTCCCCACCTGGGCCCACCCGTCTCCATTGGGAATAATAACACTCCCGGCCCATCCATCACAGTTGGGGATATATCTACCTTCGGCCCATGGTCTGCTGGCCCATATCATACAGGATATTATGCACGTCCGTTCACTCGTATAATACGGAGATATGTTACTGCAATATGTGCGTCGATGTACAGCTGCTGTGAGTGCAAAACATGTTGTTGGCATGTGATGGTGTCGAGGAAAAGGAAGCACGAGTGAGAAGCAGGGGGTCTAATAAAATAGCCTACGAGAGGTGGCCATCAGAGCTCCTCCACGGGAGGTGATGCCAGAGCTCTCCAGCAGCAGCAAGCAATCTAAAAAAAAACAAAGGGAGCACGACCAGGTCAAGATGAAAACGGGAACTGACGAGTGTGCGAAAATGACAAAGCAGGTGCGAGTACGAGAAGCCCAATGAAGAGCTCTCACTCTAGTCACCAGATGGAGAGGGGCACTCTGACGAAGGGAGCTGACGGACTCAGACCAAGCAGCAAGAGCAAACCGAATGGAATGGGCAAAGGCTAGCTACAGACATGCACAACTAGATATACCTAAGTGCCTTGAGGCCCAGGCAAGACCCCTGGCACCCCTGGCAGACCCCTAGAAGCCAAACCCCCTAACACAATGCATGGTGGCGTGACGGTATATTGGCATACCACATTGTAGATAATTGTCACCGACCAGGAGTCAGCAACACAGCAGCAGATGGACTTAGCCATAGTTTCGTCACAACAGTACCCACTGAGGACGATGGGAACACCTGGATGGTCAGCAAAGATTGGGAAGCGTCACGAGGCACAATTCAAGACCTTTTAGCCATTAGCATTGACGACTCACGATCAGAGCCACTAATGCCTACTACAGACACACAATCCCTACTTCAGCGATTTGAAAAGGAACCCTTCTTCACTGATATCCTGAAAGCACTAATGGACTTGGACCAAAGTGCATCAGTACGCACCAAGAGATGCGCATGCCACAGGACACAGAACTTCCTCATTGCGGATGACAAACTGTGGTGAATCGCAAACACCTTTGCTAACCAAGTCCATAGCCGTCTCGAATGTGTCACGCAGGATGAAGCACGCGACTTGGCATACCAGGAGCACATGTCGAATGGCCACTGGGGGCGAGACTTAGTAAAGCTACGGCTTATGGATAAGATTCTTTGCCCTCACCTAGATCGAATAATCATTGACGCTGTGAAAGAGTAATAGCGACTAGGCTGGTTATAAACTAGCGCTACTTATCCAAATAGGCACGAGTGTAATTTTCGACCCAAGAGGACTGCTATTGAAGCAACTCCCTTCAAATATGCAAGGGTAGCGATGATGCGAAGGGCTAATGACCTATAGCGACCTAAGACCAACAAACCAATGAGTAGCGCTGTAGCGATCAGCGACTAGCGACAAGTGAGTTCCGACAGAGAAATGTGTGTATAAGTAAGTAGCGCTATGCAAGTTGTCCTATGCGACGTCCGACTAGCGACGGCGAGAAGAAATCAAAAGAAGGGAAAGCGAGGGATAAGGTATGATAGTGCAAGTGGAATGCCTGATAGCGACTAGATTATAGCTCGACTACCGACAGTGATCCCGATGTTGTGAAAATCAAACTTATGAAGAAACTTTAGCGACGCGCACTCGAAGCAAGTCAAGCGACACGTGATCAGAGAGATTGGCAAGAGCGGAATTGATTGCACGACTAAAGTGACTCTGATACCAGCAAAGGTCCGGGGAAGGGAAGTACTGTACTGTATGTGCGACGGGTTGTTTTATCATACTGCGTAAAAGTTTGGGAATGCATAGGCGAGAATAGTAGCGACACTGATGGAGGCACAATGTAGCGACAGGTAATAAGACATGCAGCGCAGCGGAACACGAGGATGCATGTAATAAGACCTGCAACTGATGAGTAGCGACGTTTAATAAAAAATAACACACCAGCGGAGGTAGGTGGACATAGGCAGGACATGGGAGGACGGAATACCTAGGCGTCGGGCCAGGCAGCGCGCTATGGGAGAAAAGCAGTTCCAAAGCGGATAGCTTGGGAGCTGAATAGCGCTGGTGACTAGCACTTTACTCCTTTCCTCAAGGTAAGGCAAATTGTGCCTATGACACTCATATGCGCCTAGCGCTGGTATGATTGTCACAACGCTATATTGGATTGTGGACAGTGCAAGAACTTCGGGGCGACCCAGTTGCATTCCCTTCTAGAACCTATAGTTCGACACCACCCTTTTGAACTCCTCGTAGCCGACTACCTAGCACTACCCAAAGGAAAGTGAGGATATAACAATGTTCTACTGATCATCGATGTTTACTCCCAGTACATTTGGGGCTTCAAGCTCAAGAACCACAGAACAGCCAAAACCACTATCGCAGGACTCAACAAGGTCAGACAAGAATTCACGGTCCCCAAAAAGTTCATGACGGATGGTGGAAAGCATTTCAACAACGGAGAGGTCAATGAATGGTGCAAAACGCATGACGTAGAATGCCACGTCACACCGGCTTACTCTCCGTGGGTTAATGGGCTTGTTGAAGGTGCTAACAGGATTTTACTAGGATGCCTCAAACGAGCTTGTGCTCTGAACCTTGGAGAAGAAGAATTGTTCGACATCACACCAGAATCTATACCGTATGGATGGCCTAAACACTTCAATACAGCGATAGCACACCTCAATGAATGACTTTTACCGGCATTCAAATTCTCCCCAAAAGAGCTCATGTTTGGACTTGTTGTAGATACCCCATGCACTCCCCTCACTCAGTCACTCAAACCTCTGACTAAGTCTGACATACAGGTGCACTTCTTACTACTGGTATTCCGGCTATCTGTTCTTCCACTTTGTATTACTGATCTGTTACCTATGCTTCATCTCCATTTAATGATTTGTGATCTGTTTGAATTACCAATAGACTTTCCATATGCTTCGTACATAGCCTTTACCTTGCTGATTGATCATTCCGTTAGAAACCTATAGTATATAAACTCGTGTACAACTCAGTAGCACCTCAGTTGGAATATCATATTAGATTCTGCTCATTCTGTCTCTGCTTTCCGTCCAGACTTGAGTTCATCTACTCTTGTCTATTCCGAGACTTAGGATTGATTCCTATAGTCTACATATACGCCTCTGTCTTAGACAGTCTACCTCCGTTATTTTCTAGTCTCGGACTTCGTCCAGATTAGCCTTTACACTACTCGTCCGCTTTCCGGAAGTCATCCGGATCAGATACAATACTCGTCCGTCCTCTGAAATAAGGGGCAATACTCGGGAAAGGGGCACAGCGCACGAGCTGAGGCTGAAGCCCTTTGGATCCGATAACCTTTGAGTATGACCTTAACAATGGGCAAAGTGGCATGATGGGATCAGATGTTGCAAGAGAACTACAACTCCAATAGAAATATGTGTTGAATAGTAAGTATGATCAGCCTACAGTAAAGCAATATACAAGCACAAGCATAATGCTGGTGATGGATAAGAAAATGCAAGAACACCACCATTCTGACGGAAACATGTAATTATGTTGCAAGTATGATTATCCTACGACAAAATAATATACAAGTGCGGACAGACTAGCGTCAACAGACAAGAATATGTAAGACAAGTACAATTCTGAACAGAAGTATGTGTCGTCTTGCAAGGATGATTCAAAGTAGATAGATCATTGCCTAGACTTATCTTCAAGACAGCTATTGGGACTGTTCACGCAGGGTTTATAAAATGTGATCAAGTCAATTACAATTCTAATATGCATGGCCACTGTCAGATTGAACAAGATACTAACCTCTAACTAACCATCCAACATCTTCTCCATGTCCTCTAGCGGCAAACTCTTCTACCTCTTCTAATGGTGCAAGTTCCTCACGATTGTCCTCTGAGGACTCTGCATGTCATATGTGTTTATCTGCGAGGGTCTGAAGTTGATACTTCGCAGTTTCTATAGGGGCAGCTTGTAGATCCGGCGTGAGCACTGGTGTGCAACAACATGAAACCCATTGACAAGGGCTCTCCTATGAGCTGGGGGAAGGGAGCAGCGACCATCTGCAATGTTAGTGTTTCACTTTGCTTTCCATAAGAGAAAAGTGAGGGGATCAATCCTTTGCGAACGCCATTGTGGAAGTAGGCTTTGAAATGGAATGGGAGAGCTCCAAGTCCAAGCTTTGGGTGAGATATGGTGTGAAATGGCCTCAGAGGGTTGCATGATAGACATGGAGACAGGTGAACTTTGAATGATTAAAAGCTCAATGAGCATATTTGCGTCAGTGCAAAAAAATTATGCAACGGACATTGCTGACAAGAATCAGTTCAAGGAAACTGGTGTCAAAAGTGAAACCTTACCTATTAAACTAGCGTGTTCCGTGGCTTTTGCACCCAGCTTGTAATCATCAGAACTGTTGACATTGTGAAGGGTATTCAGAGGTAGAAGCATTATCGAAGTACAGGGCTGTTGTAGCACCATATGTGAGCGGAAAAGAAGATCAAGGCTCAAATTTTCAATACCATTTCATGATCCGGGTGCGCCAAACGAATAATTGGTTATCAAAGACAAAGTGGTAAAAAGTAACACAAATAACATAATGCCCAACGTACAATTAACTTAGGATACCAATACAATGTCAAAGGAATATGAAGAAAAGTACTGCAAACTTCGATCAGGGAAGAGAAATGGCTACAAATCAGTAATACAACTACAAGTGAGAAAATCCAAAGAGTACAGAAGCACTGGAAGAGGCGTATGAGGACGAAAACCAATCATCAGACCAATCATTGTTTCATCCATGCATCACAGCACTTGCATAAGAGCCTGCGGTGAACTTCCTTAATGTGAAAAACTGAAGTAAGGGCTGCATGCTCACCATCAGATGAGTCAGAGCCCTTGGACTCAGCAATGCATGATATAGCTTCAGACAGCATATTCACTTCTGTCTGTGTGCAGTGCTTCTTTAGGTCCATGATGTGGATCTTGGACCTGAGCACGTCCAGACTTTTGGACTCCTTGGCCTTGAAGCTATGCATTTTGTTGAGGCATGGGGGCTGCGTTTCTGCAAGAGATGCGTTTATGTATGTACAATATGTGATATGGTCAACCCAGACTTTTAGAAAACGAGGGAGTGAAAGAAATATATCTTTGGACTGTGCAGCGTCAGAACACCGGGTTCCCGTATTACAGGAATAGTACTCACAATTGGGAGGTATTCGGGCTTCAGGGTTTGTGGGAAGTCAAGTGTCTGGGTGGCAATAACCTTTGTAGCGCCTTGGAAACATGGTAATGCAAGGAGCCATGCATTGCATTTCTCTATGATGTTATTCAAAGGGCAGAAGGAACCCAATCTGACCAAGCTAGGCGCCAAGCATGCTCCCACATCCTCAACAGCCTTCACTGTGACTGGCTTCTTTGGACCAACTGGGGACAAATTTTAAGTGTTAGACACGACCCTTTGAATACTTTAGCTCACCTGTGTGCTCATCTGGGTGGGACCTATCTTCTAGGTCTTCACATGCATTTGCAATAGCATTGCTAAATAAAGAAACTTCCATCTGAGCTTGAAGCATTCTCTCCTGCAATAAACATTGTGCTCCTCCTGGAAAGAATATTGTCTGTTCTTCTTGCTGGAGCTGCTTCTGCATTGCGACCACCCCAAGACTCACATCAAGGATCGTGGGAGTCGACCCATGCAAACAGCACCGAAGCAGTGACAAAGAGGGAGTCTGGAAGCTGGAGGTGATGTTAAAAAATATAAGAAAGATGTGAGAGTACTGATGGTGTCAGGTCCCTGTTTCTTGAGCCAAGATACAAGTGCTACCTCGGTCTGGTCATTTCCAATAAATTGATTTTTCAGAGGTCTCTCCCATGTAGAAAGAAAACATGGACAGATAATATTGAACACGTTGAAGTTGAAGAAAAGGGACTTGAAGGGCTTCTCAAGATTGTTTGATGCTTACACCTATACAGTAGGCTGGCGAGGGATGGCCAAGTGATGGCAATCAAATGGCGGTTGATTGGTTGATAGGTTCTGAAGTGATGACATCATGATGATGCCCAGTTGATGGTAATCAAACTATAAAACAATAGTAGGTTAGATGAATTATTATGTAATAAAGCATTTATAAAACTCAATAGGTGACTGAATCCATGTGACTTGCGACTTTGCAGGCTGGAGTCATGTTATCCCAGCTTCAGACTGTCATGAAAAGTTTGCAGCCTAACAGAGACAAATTGATATTTCAAAATGCAGATACAGATACAGAACACGAAACTACTAAGTCATAGTGTACGTGGAAGTGGTAGTGGACATGGAACAGGTAGCTGTGTTCTCATTCGGCTGGCCAATGTGGCAAACATCGGCCTCGCTGCACATCGCAGTCCCATAAGCAGTAGTAGAGAAATCATATATGTAAACTCACGTAATAGTGCAAAACTTGCGAAGGTCATTTGCAAATGAGGGGAAATCAGGATTGTCCTGCTGATGCAACAACAGGATGGCAGTTTTGCGTAATTCTTGGTGCACCTGGCTGATGGCCGGAAAGGTGGGCATGATGTCAGTGACGCCCCAAATGCTTATCAGCTTTGACAGCAGAGTTTGGTAGCACTGGTGATAAAAGTGAACAAAACGCACACCAGAAAAGTCGAAGGCACTTACAGTAGATCCTAATAATGCAAGTGTGTCAAATGGAGGATGTGGTGCATGCCTGAATGCCTCGGTATTGAGATCAGCCATAATGAGCCTCACTCAACATGTTGTGGTGGTGCAGAAGACAATATGATATATAATCTCCTTTGCAATCTGCTCTCTAAAAAAGAGAGCCAAACTGTTTGCCTACAACGCAAGATAAGGTTTGATAATAGAAAAGAATCTAGAGAACTCACTGCGATGGGGAGCGCATTCACATATGGGTGAATAAACATTTGCACAAGGCCCAGAACTTTGTCCCTTAGGGCTATGCCCCACATTGCATCACTTCTGAGGCCAAAGCCTGCGTGAGTGTCATCCATGGAATGAGCTATTACTCGCCTAGTATCATAAAGAAAGTGTGATAATCATGGACTCGCCTATCTGGAATCAGACCAGTGATTGAAAAGCAAGAATGACATGTACCATGAGCAACACCTCATTGTGCGCCATGGGCAACTTGGTCATTGTGGTCAAAACTAGAAAAGAATGAGCATCTGTAATCTGAATCCAGAAGTTGAGCTGCAGACCTTCTTCCAATTCTTCAGCTGCAACATTGGCCTTGAGAAGGCAGTGGGGCCAGATGGTACGAATGAGCTGACATCTGCATTCGGCATACTCATTAGTGACAACAAGATGAGGATTTTCTATCATGCCAAGACAAACCCTGATATGGAGCATCAGCCTAAGGTGCACAAGGGCTTTTTTCCACTTGGGACAAGCCCTCATGATCTTGTGTATGTTCAATTGAACAGCTGCGGCTGTTCTTTTGGGTCATGCCTGTGTGTCTGCGGGCATTGTGCCGAGAACACTACTAGGACCAGCCAACATAGCATTGACGGTAGATTCCTTCCAGGACATGGCAATCGACGAGTCAACTACAGAACGACCTTGCCAGAAAATGTCCGATAGGGTCACATTGTTATTGTCATCATCAGCATTCGGAAAGTAAAGCTCGGGAACAGAGGAGTAAAAACCTGCAGGGAACTCCACATGGTGAATTATTGTATGTGTCTTGTGCTTGCAGGCAATGCCGTCCTACAGAATTGTAGCATGCAATATTTGTACCATTTTAAGGTGGACTTACATGACGATACACTCCATGCATGACCCATTGATGCCAGTCTTGCCTCATACCCATGGCAGATTCAAAGGCGGACTGGCATCTTGATGGTTCCACACATCTGATCAGTAGAGGGGATGGCCCAATCGAGAGTGAACATACAGCAAGCACAAAAACAGGGACTTCATTACTCGGAGATGTTTCAAAAACTGGAAAGTGTTCAATGGGCATCACCATGTAAGCAACAAGAGAAATATGATTCTTGAGCTGGGAGGATGTCAATATATACTACCTATGAAATTAAACACCCATAGTTTTGTGACCAGCAGGTGGGCTCTGCACTCATATTAAGACATGTAGAATAGATTTGAAAGGCGTAGAAGTACTCACATAAAGGGGATACAATGTAGGCTGAGGGCCAAGGGAGAGATATCCCATGAAGTGATGGTGAAAGTGGGCAAACCCTGCCAGGAGACACATGTAATGTTTTGTGTGATTTGCACAATGAGGAAACAACAACTTACAGACAACATGGTCAAGCCAGCAAACTCGAGGTCATAAACATATGACTCGTGCTCGAGTCCTGAGCTGGGATCTTCATGTCGTCCAACAGCAATAGACATGATATACTAGTGGCTGAGTGAAACATGAGCGATATAGGCCGTATTTAAAGAGGAATACATACCTTGATGGCTGCAGTTAGTCATTAGAACATGGGTGTTTTTAATTATGTCAAAATTTCAACATGAGGCATTCAGTCAGAGTGCCATCGATGGAAGACTACATACATATCTGGAATACATACAAACTAGGCTGCCAATTCAGCCCCATCAAGAGATATCAGATGGTATTCAGGAACAATTGAATTGTAGTCGGTTTATGTACATAATATTTGGGAGGTTCTACCTTCAAATATGTTCCCCATGAATGGTATTTTTAACATGAGGCTTAGTGAGATGCCTGTGCACCATCAATAGTTCCTTGGATTTGATCGATATGCCATCACAGCAGTACAGATAGGCTACATATAGCCTCAGTGCTGCGATTAGGAATGTCCAGTCTTACAAGTCGCATGATACTCTAGTATGTTAGTTCTCGTAATCTAGCTCCACCTCAGAGTCATACATCTCTTCAAATTCGCCTACCAGTGACTCAGTGCTGCTACGGAAGTGCTCGGTGCAGCCCATCATTGGCGGACAGTCATCTTCCTGATCAGAATTACCATTATCGTCTCCTTCTTCATCTCCGCCTTCAGCCTCCTCTACAGTGTGTGGAACATCATGGAGGACTGCAGCCTGGACCTGCGTGTCAGAGTCATGAGAGAACACATGTCCTACCCCAAGACCAAAATGGAAGCGCATCATCATGTCGCGGTTGATGAATCTGTAAGAAAACCCCGTAAGCATCAAGTATGGGGCAATACCCTTACTGACCGATTGATATAATATTCGCGCCAATTGTCTTTGTCTCCTGCGCATGCTGACATGCCTAATCCATTGAGATGTTTCCTGCAACTGGCAATGAAGGTATAATGTGGCAACCGTGAAGTATGTCTGATGGATCCAGGAAGTCGAACGAGTACTCGTCATCCAGAGGTGGAAATCTCACTCGATCCAGGGTGGAGGTGTCCCAGGTGGAGAGCTGCTGCACAGGCTGGTACCAGCGAATCCATAAGAATTCCATGTGCAGTGGAGTATAGTCCACCATACCAACACCGATCACGATTACATTGATGTGGTAGATACCCAGAACCTTACCATAAGTAAATCTGTGACCTTGGGGCCCCATGTCATTGTCTGAGCGCAGCACCATGACATTGCAATGAGACGTCCATGGGTTGATGACATCTTGCCCTCTTCGAACATCATATATAATATGATTAACACCATTCTGTGACTCAACTGAGTCCCCTTCGTGAATCAGCTCCTGCCTTTCTGCACTCCCTTTCATTTTGCAGCTTGTGTGGCTTGCCTTCGAGTGCGAGCCAAGACCTCCTGACAAAGTTCCCTAGTATCATATGCCAAGCATACTGTCGCTTTAAATTTGTGGAACTGTTGGCCAACCAACAAAGTCAATGCGTCCATAATATCAAGGGTGAAATCAGAGTGCATGCAGAGCTTCGCTAGTCTGTGCCAATGTACCATTGTGAATAGCAACGTGAGAACTCTTGTATTGTGTGGTTTGGGAAGGAGATGGTCGAAGACAGGTATAGAGCACTGCAACATTGTGTCATTACTATACAGCCACGATAGAGAACAAACCCTACCTGGAGCAGGTCTTCAAAATTGCGGGCTGCCATTTGTTTCATCTCCAAGGAGTTGGCCGAAAACTTGTGGATGGTAGCTTGGCCAAACGTCGGAGTCTGCCTGAATCTGGTAGTAAAAATCAGTTGAATGTTGTGAGTGCATGTGAAGACACCACACCTCTGGTCTAATTCATGGATGAGAGCCTTATCCTGCACACAGATTATGCACAACAGGTGAATGAAAAGCGATTTCCAAATGCCAATCTCAAACTCATGTAAGAGATCGACAACAAGTGCGCAAAATATATTGAAGCCAAGAGGACCAAGTTGGTCCAAAAACACATTCCAAGTCACAGTTAGACTGTGTCCACTATGGGCATTCACTGAAGGCTCACTGAGGTGGAGACCCAGGACTGGGGTTTGAGAATTCGTTCAATAGGTGCGCTGCTAACAGCGTAGTCGTCCTTGTAAATCAGTTTGTGGGCAGAACTGACCATAGCTCATCGTCATGTGTTGTTGCGTTGCAAAGTCGCGCGTTGTTGTCGATCCTGAGACATGCCCATGTTCTGAATCTGATCCTTTGGTATCAGGCAACAAGGACATGGACATCCTCCTAGGTTTCAAACTGTAGTGATGAGTACTCTGATGAAATAATAATCAGATGGATAATTGCTCATAGAGTTCACATACTTCTCTGGATAATTTGCTGAATAAGTAAAAATCCTTGGGTAGAACCTGCACAAAATTCCATCACTGCAATGGATCACAATGCCATGTTTTTTGTACACCTCAAGAAACTCATCATCTAGTAGAATCTTCCACTGCTCATGGAAAAATTCTCTATGGCAGTGTGTTGCGCAGTCGCTAGTCATGCTATTCCCACCTATAAAATCTTTGAATGAGTCTGGGAGCTGCCAAAGTGTTAGCAATTAGACAATGTAGCAGAGCTAACACTGAACAGACACACCATCTCAAAATACACCACGTGATTGCTTAAATTGAGTGATGGCTTGCAATGCTGATACTTGGAAACATTGCCAAAGTACATGTAGGTAGGCCAAAGCTTGGAATTACTGAATGAAGTAAGCTGTGTTGTGTCAGACCAAAACCCAAGGGCAGCTATGACTCTGTGTAAGTCACAGTCAGGTTCCCCCAGTGATTCTTGCAATGCAGTGTGAGCATAATAGAACACTGGGGATGTGTACAAATTGCCATAAATTGAGATTTCGACGGCTAAATGGGGTGGAGTCCAACGCAGCTGGTACGGCTCATAATGGAAGAGCTTGTCATCTCGGGGATTAGCAAGCTTTTCCCATAAGACAGTGACCAGGGACTGATGATACAAGTGAGCAGCCGCTTCATAGACATGCGTGCCTAGATTTTTGATGGTGCACGACGAAGGCACCTCGATAGAAATCAGACTTCTTTGCCATCCAGCATCTTCATCTTCCCATTCCTCTCCATCTCCATTGTCATACTCATTCAAGCCAAGAACAGAATTGATGTTCTTCCACTTTGTAGTGGTCACGTCAACAGTGCAGAAGGAAGGCCCACCCAAGATGTCTAGCAGTTTTTTGTAGTCACCTTGTGACTTTTGCACCCCCTGATTCCAATACCAGTTGCCAAGCTGGAAGGAGGATTGATTTAGATAAGGGTGATAATCACTGGTAGGAGGTTTCAGGAGAACTTCAACGTCCTGGGTGCTGGGAGGTATGAATGAGAGGTCTGCTATTGTCACATATTCTTCTGGATCATGAGATGGAGGTCTTGCGGAGAAATATTGGTGCACTAGTCCAAAGATGTTTAGAGGGGTGTGAAACACTGTACACACAGGTAAGGCTGGCTGGGCTGCTGCATTGACAACATGTCCTACATATTGCGGAAGTTCATCATCAAGTTCCAGGGGAGCAGTCAGTGGGGGCTGGGGAAGCACATCCCTGAATCTCAGGGGCAGCTGTTGGTTCTGACGCCTTGGCCAGTGCTGTGCTAAACTCAACTCTTCTCCTTCATCAATGATCCCTGCTCCACTGTTATCACTTCCAATGCCTCCTGCAGGATTGGGAGGTGGGTCGGGCAAAGAAACTGACACTTCAGGATGAAGATACGCTGGCAAAGGGTTGGTTCCGTTAGGATGCAACGTAGATGGTAAAACCAGTGATGAGACATCTCCTGCTTGGAGGGCCGACTCTTTTGAAATCCGTGGCTTTTCCTGCGCCCAACGAACTCCTTGAGGGAGGAGATTGCCGATGACAGACACTTTTTCGTGGAATTACATGAGTGCTGGTGATGAGTGTAGTTGTTTTGCACAGTAAAAGATCGTTTACACACACATGTGTAACTAGGAGCTGACATGGAGGATTGTATAGTCACGAACTGTCCTCTAATGAGGTCTGATGGTGCGGTGTATCACTACACGTTGTCATGCATGGTATGGAGTTCATACCATGACATATACAAATAGCAGTGTAAAAGGAGATGATTAGGGAAGTATATGAGGATATATTTCTCACTATCATAAGCTTTGTTTCTATTTATTTAGTTGTATTTGTAGTTTCCATTAGTTTCTGTCTCTTTCCATTTGATCTTGTTTATTCAGCCACTTGATTACATCAGTGAGCCACTCAGATATGTTTGTAAGCATGTCATGTGATTGGTAATATTCTGATTTGTAAGGATTTTCCATGACTCGTCATGTTTAAGTCATGATTCATCATGCTTTGTAAGATTTTACTCATGTACTTTAGTAAGCAGCTGATTCAGCACACCCAAAAGGCTTGGTTTGTAAGCATAATCTTACCAATCCAGTGATGACTCATTGCTTAGTAAGGATGGCTTCTAAAATGTATATAGACTCCATTTTCACATAATATATAAGTTTTTTCCCCTTCCATTCTGTTCCCAAACTGTGTGGGAACGTAGGAATTTGAAGTGCAGGAGTTTTCCCACCTTCTGTCTCAACACTGTGAGATTACGAAGAAAGTGAAGGCCTATGAGTTGCCCTTGAAAACAATTGTATTCACTAGTCTAGATTGATTGTATACTATCTTACAGGGATCGCCTATACAATAATCTATCGTTTTACGTAAGTTTTACATATTCGAGCCACATTCAGTTCAGAGGTCCATATTACCTACTAGGTTTACATTAACCTGACAAAATATATACTACTCCTTTACTATTGAGAAGTGATCTAGCAAGGAAGTAATCTATTACCCTTTGGCCACCCACAAACACCACATTATCAACCGAGAAGTAGAAAATCCATTGACTGTGAACTTAAGGAGTAGGCACCTTAGTCTTATTGAAGTACAATTGTGATTGTATTTCACCTCAACTTATACAAGACCCTCAAGTAAGAAGACAATGTTCCTCAATGTATGCATGTCTCACTGGCTTTGTAGCGGTACCGTGAGTAGAGGTATGTGAAGTCAGGCACCATTACATACCTGCGTAATATGGTTTATCATGTATACACACAAACACAATGGTGTTAAGATGGCTGGGCTGCAGGGGAAGCGATACGGAGCCAATCTTACATGCTCCAAAACATAAACGATGTGATGGCACAGTGTTTGTCACCAGAATGATTGATGGCAGCCGAAATACCTGTTAAGAACCGGTTTGCTCAAACAGAGGTTGGAATGAATGTCCGAGGGACTTGGCCTCAGCTCGTACACTGTGCCTCTTACCTGAGTATGTGCCCTCAATTTCAGATGAAGTCCGATGATGGTCCAACGAAGTCCGGAGGACTTCTGGATGAGCATGGGAAACATCCAGACGAGTGTGGGAGAATTTCGGAGGAGTACAGGAAAGTCTGGAGGAGTTTCCACTGCATGGGAAGTAGAGAGACCCCAAGATTATGCCTATAGAGGAAACAGAATGGAGAGGAGACTGCAAGGGACAAAGTCCAAAGCAGGATAGGATAGGAGGGGTGGAACTATGACAGGAGGACAGGAGGTCCGAAGGTCAGGACATCTGGAGGTCCAGAGATCTGAAGGTCCGAAGGTCCAGAGATCTGAAGGTCCGAAGGTCCGAAGGTCCGAAGGTTGCAGATATAGTTCTGGAGGTATGGAGGACAAATAGGGGCTACATCAGATGTGGTCCAATGTAGAAACAAACAGAGGTGGACTACACTTAGGTAGAGTCGGAGAGGACGGGATTGGACCAAAGTCCAGAATGAGTGCCGGAAAGGCAAACTCCAGTCTAGGGAATCAATCCCTAGACTCGGAATGGAGATATAGGGGACAAATCCAAAGGTCCGGATTTCCAGCCTAGGGAAGGATTCCCTAGGCCTAATGGAAAGGCCAGAAACTTAGGTGGAGAAGTCCAAAAGAAGATTGGGCAAGTTTAAATCGAGAGGGAGCAAGTCTATGCTGATATTCAAACTAAGGAAACTGTACAGGAGTTGTACAGAGGTTTATATACTGGAAGGGATTTGAGAGGATCAGTAAGCCAGAGACTAATGCTATGTACAAGCATATGGAAAATATTAGTAAGTATGAACAGAACATAAGTAAATGAACTCGGAGATGAACAAAGTACAAGTATCAATAAGCAGAACGGTAACAGAGATAACTGAAGTCCGGAGTCAAGGGAATTACCATATGGGGATAGACACTGATTTAAGGTTTAGGCTCGGATATGATGTATAGGTTGGATGCGGAGATCCAGAGAGGTGGATATCGGATCAGGCGTCTGGATATCAATCCGGAATCGGATGGGATGTACTCAAGGTAGATAGGACAAGGGATGGATGATGCAGGCTAACTGCGGAGGTCTGGAGGTGTATGGATATGGATGCATGGATATGCAGAGCTGCAGGGATCCGGATGTGCAAGGATATGGATGGATATGGATCTGGAGACATGGAAGGGGGGTCTGGAGGTCCGGACATGGCATGGGAACATCTTCAGATGTAGGTCCAGAATGCGGGATATGACAATACCAGGAAAGCAATGGCACTGGTGTGATTGGACTACACGGGGCATTATATAAATAACTTCGAGTGGAGGTGCATTGCACTTACATGTCTGCACCATCGTCTCCTTCCTCTGAGGGCTGGAGCCTGGAATGTACGCAATTCAGGCCTGATTCCAATGTCATCAAAATGTTGGTGAGGATCTTAACTGCACGCCATGGTATACTCCATTATCACGGCCAAACAGGCAGACTGACAATGTTTCAATGGTTAGTTGCTTTCATGAACACAAAGACTTCTCTCACTTGTATGTGCTACACTTAGGCCAACCACCCGACATGGACATCAGATACACCCCTCACAATTTGAGGCATACTGTTGTCCTGCATGATTTGGGAATCATGCATGGACATGACTACTAGGTATCCCCCTAAAAGACAAAGTCTGTTAGCTTAGTCCTCAGACTAGTCAACCCATACCTTGGTATCAAACCTTGGTCCAATAGTTTCAGTTTTCCCTCAGTGATTCATGAATCCACCATGTTTTGAAGAAAAGTCATATGTGAGATGGGAATCACATAATGACCTAGTTGATATGAGAAGCAAAATAAAGTTTAAGGTATTGCCTTTCCTTTGGCTTATTCACTTTGGCTAGAGAAACCCATAGAGAAAAGTTCAAAGCCTAACAAAAACCTATCTAAAAAGCCCGCGTATTGTGTACTATTATTTGTTCCATTATTTCTGAGTTGTTTTCTCTAGTGTTTCTTTACTTTACTTTTCTATTAGGATGCTCTGACTAATCAGATGCTTCATAAAATTGTACCTACAGGGTATGATGTCATAATGATGTCATAGGACTTCACCTACACTCCTGCAGGTATTTTGGTTGAAAGATATGATATCATAGTGATGTCATAATGATGTCATGTTCCATTGCTAGAACATTCCAATGACTCATAATGACTCATAATGACTCATAATGACTCAGAGTGACTCGGAATGATGTCATTATCCCACCATGAATATTCTGAAATGTTCTTTTGCACCTGCTAGAACATTCTGCTCCAGTTTTTGGAATATTCTTCTCACATTCTGAAGTCATTACATCACCTTTTTACTTACATAATATTCCCACACAAAATGTATATAAGGAGAGCCCATTCTCCCCAAAAAAATAGATCTCCCACTTGTTGCATTCAAGAACTCCCACTTGAGCAAATTGAACTCTTACCTAAGAAGCTTCAGTCTGAACAAATTGCTGCTTACAAAGCCCATTTCCTTTGTAAGAACTGTCCAGACAAGTGCAGGGAAAGTGTTTCCCTTGAGATTACGTAAGTTTCTTGTGATAGAAACCCAGTTTTGTGAGACCAGTGTTCTCACCACGTAGTGTTTACTGACCAACACAAGCTTTGGTCAACGTTGTTATTTGTGAGACCAGCGTTCTCACCAGGTATTTGTATACTGACCAACACGAGCTTTGGTCATTGTTGTTATTTGTCATTGTTGTTATTTATCATTGTTTTTCTATTTGTCATTTGTTGTTATTTGTGAGACTAGCGTTCTCACCAGGTATTTGTATATTGACCAACATGAGCTTTGGTCCACGTAATCACATTTGAGACCAGCTTCTCAACAGTTAACTGTATATTCAGGAAACCAGTTCAAGTGTCTAGACAGTATATCCTAGACAATCCCATAGTTTCAATCAGAAATAATAAAGCTCTGGCTAAGTTAATTTAACTGATTGGTTTAGCGAGCCTCCCAAGAACTCACACATTATCTACCACGAAAGAAGAAAAGTCGTAGACTGTGTTAATCGAGGACTGGCAAGAAGTCTTATCCAGCGTAATTGTGGTGTCATTACATTCTTACACGTTTTCATATAAGACCCTCAGTTATTAAGACACCGTGATGTGCATGTATTCTGCTACCCCTGCTGCCTTTGCGCGCAACAGGGGGAAAATATGTCGAAGTGTCGATATTCCCATGGACTACAAGAATATGTCAAGGGGAGTATGTTGCTGAATGCGCAACCAGCACTTGCGGATACATGTGTTAGTGAGGCTTCCTTGATCGAAAGGAAGCATTGCTAATATTTCATCTAGTTAATGTTGAGATATTCATCGGGAGAGCATGCATACCTGCTACATATTATCCCCAACAAGGTACGTGTTTCAAATGGTACACAAAATTTACTCATATCTTCATAGAAGATAGTTTCTGGAAGCTTCTATGGTACAATTGAACTTAGGATCGTGATCAGGAGTTGAAATACCTACTCATCATTGGGCATGGTGATGGTTGAGACAGCCTGCTTTGAGACTATCAAAATTTATCTCGCAGAATACATCAATAATCCTGTGTTCTATATTTAGGTGTGAGATATGGTTCATTATACAGCGCGGAGGTGGAAGCACACCTCACCATCATTCTTATGCGCTTTGTGTGACGACTTGCAACCATTCAGTATTTCGAACTAATTCAAAGCAGTTATATTACAGAAACACCATACGGGTATGAGGACACCAGAATCGATACGTGACTTGAGGATTTTTTGAGTAGGGTAGATAGACACTATTTGCTACAAACTACAGCTACTGATACTTTTACTATTGTCAGAGGCCAGACAGATGATGGAAAGTGGAAAAGAGTTAATGAACAGGCGTGAGGGGTTTATATACTGAATGACTTTGGTAATCAAACTCCACTGGCAACATCCAGAATTGCCACAATGTGCAAGGTGTGTCAGCTCAATTTGGTTGGAGTTTCATTCATGGCTGACACATTGTGCATGAACCTTTTCTCACCGACATCCATTACCATCCCGCCCTCCTGCCCGCGGCGGTGCACCTCGGACTTTGGAGCCGCCTGTTATATCTCGTTCTTTCCTTGGTTGGCATTCTGGTTCTGTGCCTTTCATCTTACCCATACCGATTTATGTTTGATCTATTTTATAGCATACTGTATTTCATATTGTTAGACATTCTTTTTGAATATAATGATATTGTTGACTCAAGCATTGACTGGAATTGAGTGTTGAGTGCTTGCTCGGTTTGTGAGCACTACTGGTCCTGAATGACACACATTCTTCACCAAGGAATAGGCTTAAATTTATAGTTAGACAAGGATACCCCTTTGGCTGGCTCTATGACAAGATATTATGTTTACAGTAACAACTCAGGAAATACATTACTCCCCTTTGCTGTAGTTCCCTCATTTTGGGGTTTTACTTTAAAGTAGTAGTCACCACTTGGGCGCACTTTGTGTTTCCAATGGTTATCGTTATCCGGCTATACTAGACTATTATCTGCGCTCGTTATAACACTCGCTCTGCATTTGCACTCACTTTGCGCATCCGTTTCCTTATCCGGTATTCTCCCACACAACGTGTGCCTTAGCATACACTTTCTCATGCTTGTGCTTACCTTAGTGCGCTCTCTCACACTTCACTCACTTCGCTTTTCCTCTCACGCTTTCGCACATCCATCGCACTACAAGGGTCTTTCATTCATCTGGTTCTGTGTTCAGTAGCAGTCCCCTTTAGGGTCAAACGTTCTTGCATTCTGCGAGTATAGCAGCTAGGCAGAGCCAAGACTCACTTAAACTGGTTGAGCATTTTAGATATTTCATATCAGCCCAGCCAGGTTGAGATCGCCTCACCAGTATACTCCAACTAGAAGAGTTACAGGACTCTGCCATTGAAGATTACCCAGTGGAGTGAGTGCAATTCTGATGATTACATCCCATCAGCATTAACAAAACCACTTTCCGTGGCAGTGTTCAGCATGAGCACAGGGTATTTGTGAATCTAATAGATTCCTATCCAGGCCTTTTAGATCATCTCACAAAGGGTGAGGAGGAGGACGTTATTCACATAGGAGAATTGGTAAGTTCTTTATTTTGGAAGATCATTACACTCACCCTTTGCAGTTGGGTAAAGGAGCCTCTGGCGCGTGAGGCGATGATACCAAGACCCTCAAATCTGCTGTCCTCGAATGGCTTGTGCCCAGAGGACAGGCAGGGATACCGCCCCTCTCCCAGAATATTAAGTCCGACCGTGGGTTTAATCACAAAGTCACTGGTGTGCTGCTCTGACCTGCAGGCCTTGACTGGTCAAATGCAGAGTACGTCTTTTCACCTTATTAGTTAACAATCCTAACACTTCCCAGAACCAAGCAGAGTCCAAAGAGCAGCGAAACACTGTTCACAGTGATCAGTGGCCCATGTTCTTGTATGCTGGGTATGACTATGATCCCAAAGATCCATGGAAGGGCCTACTCCAAAGCGAGATACTGGTCTTTGTAAACTCATTTTATTGGCAATGAAGTTCTCAATCCAAATTATTTTCAGGGTTTTAAACATATCTTTAGGTCCCCGAGCTCGGTGGACAAGGAGCCAAAGGCCACGCGCTCCGGCAATGCTTACCTTCACAGCATGAATTTTGTAACTCAAGCATCCTTAGCTTATGTTGCTACACAGGCATGCAAATTTAAACGTACATGCCTTCCCCTGCCGATTGTTCCCTTAGGTTTGGTTTTTGCTAAGCTCCTCATCTGTATTTTCACATACTGATACGGTCACAGACTCAGAAAAATTTTATCATAGCATTCTTGACCTGTTGGAGGATCTTGATGAGAGTGAGGAAGTTGCTGACCTTATGACATGGTGGACGCAGTTTGTCAACCCTCATCAACTTAAAGCCATTTATGTTAACGCCTTACATAGTCGCATTTTTCCTAATTCTTCTTCTTCACAGCGCAGTATCAGCAAAAACAGTGCACTGTCAAAGATTCAGGAAAAACGCACTGCCTTGCAAGAGCGAGTCGCTGCCAGTACTAATTAATTAATTATCTTGTAACTGTACTGTCTCTAGGACTAATGCAATTGATATTGTTGTGAATGCAACTCAGCGTCAGACCATCCACTCAGATGGTACGTTCAGCCATTAAAAGCTGGAGATATAGTAGATGTATTTGGTTCAGTACAACTATCTTGATAAGAGCTTTATAACCCTTTGTCATCCGACAGTGTTTATCTCTTCAAATCTGTTTCCTGGCAATTTCTTCCATTCCCTTCCAATGTTCTTGAAATCTACTGTGACACTTCAGGTTCGTGTACGGGATTCTGGTATCCTCACCTTAACCTCGGATTTCAGTCTAACCTTCCTGAACATCCCCCAGTTGCAGATATCTTCTTCTTTGAGGCACTCTGCGTCGCATCTGCTATTCATGATGCTGTCACTCAGATTCCTGTTAACGGATGTCTTGCTATCTACACCGATAGCTTAAAAACAGTGTATACGTTCAACACTCTATCGGCTGGGCCAGGATACAATCGACTCCTTGTGGATGCAGTTGAAATCATCTTGGTCTTCAATGTGGACTTTAGAGTTTTTCATGTGGCAGGAGAAGATAATGTAGTTGCAGATCACCTCTCATTGGTGTGCGAGAGAGGCGGTAAGTTGCTCTCTGGGGCTCAGAATCATGTCCTTCCAACCTCCTCGGAATGTGCTGGGGGTATCCTGGAAATGATTCCATCCTTGGTGGAGGCCCGGCAACCTCTCAGGAATGCTTGGCCAATGGAACAGCTCATTCATGAGTGTTCCGTTAATCTTGGGCTTGCTCTTGACAAGTCTACTAACCAAACTTACTCATCTGCTCTCAATTCTTACATTACTTTCTGCGACCTCCATCATCTTACCATCGATCCAACACCTGACACACACTCTCTCTTGGTCAAGTTCATGTCTGCTCACATTAACCTGTGCTCAGTTGACAACTACTTGTCAGGAATCGGCAGTATACTCAAAGAGTTTTATCCACAGGTTCATCAAAATTAGTGCTCTCATCTCATCTCACATACATTGAGGCCCTTAGGGGTGCTAAGCATTATTATGGGATTCCTATATGTAGGGTCCCTGATTTGCTGGCTATATCCTCGCCATCTGCATATCAATGAGACCTGAGCAAGGACAATTAGGTGGATTTAAATAGCACATCTGGACCTGGAAGGAGCAAAGGCCTAGAATGCAACGGCAGAACTTCTGCAGTTCCCATTTTTCCTGATGAACTGGAAATTTGTTACCATTTGCAGTAGTCAACCCCCTGGTGAGATGATCGAAAGTAGCTACACATGTGTGATATATCCTGATACATCAGAATGGACAGTGGATAATTACAGATCATGATGTATCAGAGTTTTTGGCTTACTGTACTCTTTAGATGTATCATAATGACAATATGACCTGAGTTTCTCATCCCATAGTTTGCTAATGTAAATCAAAAGACTATGGTGAGGCCAGGCTGCCACATTTTCCTTATCCTCCTTCGCTCATGCCATATTTGCCTTTTCAATATTCATTCACGCTGAACCTGCAGCCTTTCAATACCAATGCCAACTCCTTTAAAGACTCTATTAATTAGAATGATTCTGCACTATATCATTCACCCCCATCTCTTTGGGACCTGCTACATGGCCACCTGACATGGCATACACGCTCAGGCTCTTGCCTGCAGTACCTCAACATGACTGCCAAATACACCTAGCATGGGCACGTCACTCCACACTAACCAGGATATACTTTTGCCTGCAGTACCTTGAAATGACATCAAACATGCCTAGCATGGGCACATCACCTCATACTAACTAGAGTATGTCTGTGAATCTACCAGATGGACACACCATCTAACTCACATCCAGATACTGCAGAGATCGCTGCGATACCAACAACTCCTCCTGGGCTGCAAGAAATTCAAACCATCCTATACTAACCCACTGTGCTCTGCTGAACCTGAATACATCTCAGAAGGCTCAAGTGAAGGCATGGAAAGCTTCCCGCAAGCTTTCTGCTGAACAGCAGAAGGAGGCTGAAGATGTCCTAACTACTGCAATTCAACAGCTCCTTGCAGATGAAAATGAGAAGATCAGCACCCTCGCTCATGTGACTTAGGATAAGATTAAAAACTCATGGGAGGCAAGAAACATTACAAAGCAAATCAGAATGCACAACTAGCCAATATCCTTATACATGCAAAAGCATAGGAAGTTAACACAGGTCAGTCCTGTCACTTGTCATCATTTTTGCAACCATCATGCTAACTAAAACAATAGACTGACTTTGTGGTACAAAATATTCGCTTGAATGCATAATTCAACCCCCGAGGAACAACAGGAATACATTGACAAACTCAATGAGCAATGTGCTCTTCAGAATATAGAGTGTTCGCCACTGCTGCAGCACAAAATGTCCAGTAAATGTTAGACAATGTCTTCAAGATGGTAGGTTTAATACGGCATCATGTCTTACACCTTCCTAATGAATCCCTAGCTAGATAGCCTTGCAGGAGGATGTCCTCCAAATGGAGGCTGATGAAATCAGCGAAAGCTGGAGCAATGGGTATGCATGTCAGGTCAAAGTACATCCTTTCTTGCTTTCCCGCCAGTATTATATTGATATGAACGTTGTAGACATTGATGAGCAGGAGGGTACAAATCATGCAATGTGTTGGCACTCCTCCGCTTAATTCTTGGCTAAGTACTTTTTTTTCCATATCTGATAAGAAACGCTACTAACCATCATGTTTTAGGAACTATAATTAAGAGATGTGATGTTTGTATCAACTACACAAACTTCAACACCGCCATTAAAGAGAAGCTTGGGATTGATATGAAAGGCTGACCTGAGGGCATTCCATTCCAATCTCCCACCAGCCTCAGCCCTTCTAAAGCTCTGAAATGCACTTAAAGATGGCTCTTGCCATCGGTTCTGCATGTCCCCACGTCAAAGGGAGGAATATAGCACGTAAGTATGCAACTAGCCACACGCCTCAAGAGAGGAGAGACCGTTGGTAAGCCCCACAAGAAATATTCTGACACTGGGATAGCCAGAAAATGCAATAGAAAGGAGCACAGATGCCCCAGAAAGTGTGCACGAGGGTCTAGGTCATCTGTACAGCCTCCAAGAGCACAGCGTTTATAAGTCACATTTGATGAGGATACCAGCGAGGATGAAGCTTAGTTATTTGTTTTGTAGGTTTGAGGTCTCCTAGTATACATAGATTAATTACAATTTGAATTAGCTACTTATATACAAAATCTGGCTGAAATCTATAAGCATGGTGGGGAGATACTCAAGCTCACTGTTGTACATAGCCAGCATGAAGGTTTGGTGATGACATGGATTGCCTAATTTGGCTCCCAGACACATAGGATGGACATAGCTGAGGGCCTGCACTTGGTATCTACACCACCAGCACCTTATACCATCATCAAGGCTCTCCTTTATTGAATAATTAGTCATTTGGGTGCGTACAGCCAATTTTCAGTCGACTTGGAGCGCCATCAGAGGAAGGACCTATGATAATCCCTATGGAACCCAGGTCAGCATCAGGACATAAGTTGACACAAAGACCACTTCACCCAGGTTGGCATCTGAACACCCACATCTACTTTGAGTGTCAACCTGGGAGAATGTCTGGACATCTGTGGAGGGGGTGGCGGTATGTCAGGTTGAGGTCTGGACTTGGGCTATTGCTTGACAGATATTAAGCTCAAATAGCCTAGCTAGTGGAACGAGACAATATTTGACATTAAATGCAAGAGTTGGACTCCCGCTTTTTGCAACTTCTATTGGACGCAAAATCAGAACATAATGAGGCTATTACTACAAAAGTGCAACTCAAACTGGTGCAAAACTAGATATTATTTTTCATCAGTATAGACAACATCAAAATTTTCATCGTCATTTTCATTCCATTCCTGACGCAACCACTTTGCCTTTCTCTGTCATCTCTCATCTAAGCCCAATCTGACATGCTCAGGACTCAAGCTTGCGCCTGTAGACCTGCTGGACTTCAACATCCTATCAGCTGACTTGCCTCAGTTGGCAGAAGCCGTCAGGCCATTCAAAACTTCCAGGCCACATGAAGAAAAGGTTTTTACATAATTGTTTTTTGGCTCCTGCAGCTGTTCTAAACACGCCTACCTACTTAAAGTCAGAAAAAACACATTTTTGAAATTTTTGGGAACCTGAGTCAGAGTCCAGACAAATTTTTGCTCTCAGGTGAACCTAGGATGGCCTAGGATGGCATCCGACAAAAAACTCAAAATCTGTCTGGACAAGTTGTGGCCTCTGCTGACCCGGGTTCCATAGGGATTATCACGGGTCCTGCCATCAGCCCCACCTGTCAAGTCTAATTAGGGCGGGTAGGTGGGAACTACAGGCGACAATCTTAGTACGTATAACATTACACCCATATATCAGAAGTTATGTCCAGAATTTGAAATTTGAGGCCCATGGTATCACAATATCAGTACGTACAATGTTACACCCATATATCAGAAGTTATGCCCAGAATTAGAAATTTGGGGCCCATGCTGTCACAATCTTAGTACGTACAATGTTACACCCATATATCGGAAGTTATGCCCAGAATTAGACATTTGGGGCCCATGCTGTCACAATCTTAGTACATATGTTACGCCCATATATCGGAAGTTATGTCCAGAATTTGAAATTTGGGGCCCATGGTGTCACAATCTTAGTACATACAACGTTACACCCTTCCCATATATCAGAAGTTATGTCCAGAATCTGAAATTTGAGGCCCATGATATCACAATCTTAGTACGTACAATGTTACACCCATATATCGGAAGTTATGCCCAGAATTAGAAATTTGGGGCCCATGCTGTCACAATCTTAGTACATATGTTACGCCCATATATCGGAAGTTATGTCCAGAATTTGAAATTTGGGGCCCATGGTGTCACAATCTTAGTACATACAACGTTACAACACACCCTTCCCATATATCAGAAGTTATGTCCAGAATCTGAAATTTGAGGCCCATGATATCACAATCTTAGTACGTACAATGTTACACCCATATATCAGAAGTTATACCCAGAATTTGAAATTTGGGGCCCATGGTATCACAATCTTAGTACGTACAATGTTACACCCATATATCAGAAGTTATGCCCAGAATTAGAAATTTGGGGCCCATGCTGTCACAATCTTAGTACATACAACGTTACGCCCATATATCAGAAGTTACGTCCAGAATTTGAAATTTGGGGCCCATGCTGTCACAATCTTAGTACATACAACGTTACAACCCATATATCAGAAGTTATGTCCAGAATTAGAAATTTGGGGCCCATGGTATCACAATCTTAGTACGTACAATGTTACAACACCCATATATCAGAAGTTATGCCCAGAATTAGAAATTTGGGGCCCATGCTGTCACAATCTTAGTACGTACAATGTTACACCCCATATATCGGAAGTTTATGCCCAGAATTAGAAATTTGGGGCCCATGGTATCACAATCTTAGTATGTACAATGTTACGCCCATATATCAGAAGTTATGTCCAGAATTTGAAATTTGGGGCCCATGGTGTCACAATCTTAGTACATACAACGTTACAACACCCTTCCCATATATCAGAAGTTATGTCCAGAATCTGAAATTTGAGGCCCATGGTATCACAATCTTAGTACGTACAATGTTACACCCATATATCAGAAGTTATACCCAGAATTTGAAGTTTGGGGCCCACGGTGTCACAATCTTAGTACGTACAATGGGGAATAGCCAATTGTACGTACTAAGATTGTGACACTGTGGGCCCAAAACTTCAAATTCTGGGTATAACTTCTGATATATGGGTGTAACATTGTACGTACTAAGATTGTGACAGCATGGGCCCCAAATTTCAAATTCTGGGTATAACTTCTGATATATGTGTGTAACGTTGTACGTACTAAGATTGTGACACCATGGGCATCAAATTTCAAATTCTCCTCTGTGGACGATTGAGTCACCATTAGTTACAAACATTGATCGAACAAAATTTGAATACTCTGTTGCTAAGTCTAATCCATCAGCATTGCACAGCGGGGCTAGACACTGGCAGCTATTCTGCTTATGTATGTTAGATATCAGAATTACTAACGTTGCAGCTATATATATTACCCTTTGACTGTAATCTAGAAATGGCGTCCAGGATCTGAGTATATCGCAATAAAAAATAAATTTTGCTACAGAAACTAGGCGTCTTAATGGCTGACTCAGGGCCCAGCCTGAAGGGTCTGAGGGCCGAGGCCGGGCCTGGCACATCACTAATGGCTAGCGCCAGTAACCAAGATCAGAATTCCCAGGCAGAGACTAGACCTCAGAGGACGTCCTAGACTGACAGTAATTACGTCCTAGCAAGCTTAGCCTTGAGCTGGGATCTAATTTTGTGTACTACATATTGGCGTCACAGAGCGTCACTCGGTGCTGTCACTCTCCAAACTCCACCAATCGGATTGACTGTGCTACAACGCCACAAGTTAAGCGTTCATTTCTGTGGATTGAATGTTCTGCCAGTGATAGGCTTGGTGGACTAAATTCCAATTGGATTATCAGGGTCCTCATAGGCGGTTATCGACCCTTCTTACTAGACTCACCGCTGCCAAGTCTCATTTTATTTCGCTCCCAGTCTATTGGCACTTGCCTAAGTCGCTCAGCTACAATTAAGTATGGTGAATAACAGAACTTCACCTCAATACAACCCATCTCTTTCTTCCTACAATGCCTACAATTACTATGCCTGGTGCTCTTCTTGCACTCAGCGCTCCTTCTCATGCAGAACAGGTCGATTCCTCGACAGACACCACAGAGGCTGGCAATATTCCTTGGTGTTGGCCCATATGGCAACAGCACACTATGCTGGGTTCAACTCCCTTATCCGTAAACATAACGGAGGACACTCCCAGCGCCTGGAAGTCCCTCAAGATCCATCAGGCAGTCTTGACATTTGCTAACAATTTCTGGGCTATTGAGGATGCTGCCCAAGTGGATTACATTAAAAAGATCGCCCTGATAACGACAATGAAGGTCGACAACATTGGCTGGACTATTGCCATGCCAATTGGTCAAACTGGAAAATAAATAGTACCGTTGACGTGGTACTGGCTGAACGTGGCCTCGACCCATATTCAGTTATGAAGCGTCTCAAGGTGGCAAATGTGAGATTTATTTATTTTGTCTCTATACTGCGCTCTCATTGATTATTTCAATAAGCTTCCTGATCTTGCCACCTCGCAGGTCGCACTTGCCTACTCAGGCCTTGCAGAGGCACTTTTTGGCCCTGAATCTTTCACAGAGGACGGTATTGCACTCAAGGAGCCAGTCCGGCGCTTCCTAGATGCTCTTGTGGCCCACCATTGGGCAAAGAATAGGAAGTCTATTGTACGTGAAAGGGGTAGGCTCGGAAAGTTAAAAAACAAAGTAGATGAGACGTGGCAAGGTATACTTTTAACAATATTACCTTTTAATACCTAATTCTGTTTGTCCAGAATTCTCATCTATGGCAGAGCAAAACAAACGTCTGGACACTGAATACATTAGAGCCTGGCTGAAGGACGTAGATGGACTCACAAAAATCCTTACTCGGTATGGCGATCGAGAGTCGCTGAAGCAGCTTTCAGAGCAGCAAGAAACGCTCAGCGACCTTCTTCAAGGCTTAGGGATTGACATAAATGGTGGAAGCAAAAACCGTGCGTTAACCTTGCTTACATATCTTCATTACTATCATCTTACGCTTTTTTTGGAGATAGGTCTACCAAAGCCACTGCGCCAGGCGCTTTCATTCCTTGCCACTCAACAAGATATTACTCTACTTGCAGCGTCCATCCAGGACCAATTGAAACTTTGTGATCCAAACACAACGCCAGCAGAATCAGTACCCTCGTTTGACCCAGATGCAACCAACAATTGCGACTTCCAGTGGTCGGAAGGTGTGGAGCAATACAGCAGCATGTCCGAGGATGACCTATGGACGATCCTTGGACTTCCAGAAAAGCAAATACCGTTCTTTAACCTTTTGCAAGATCCCTATGGCAATTGCGACCCTTGGACTGAGGACGGTCAAGCCTGGTTGAAAGAAAATGGGGAGTCTCTTGCTCTCCGCTGGCATCAACTTGTTGGTCTCGTCAAGATGGTCAATAATGCATTTTGTGGAATGCCCGTCTTGCTCATGGACGAAGTGGGCTTAGGCAAAACCATTCAAGTCACCGCCTTAATTGCCATACTTTCATTCTATCGTGAATTTTATGCTGTGCACAACTGCTTTCCTGGTAAAATAGGTACGCCATACCTGTTAAAGTTCCCGCTGTGCTGGAGCTCTGATCTGACATAAATCAAATTAGCTGCAAAGCGGTGGAGGAGCGACTCTCCAAACATTCCAAATCTTCCAGTGATGCTTGTCATCCCAGCCAATCTGGTACCCCAGTTTACTTCGGAGTTGCACCGGTATCTTCAGCGGGGAACTTTTGACATTCTACCATATCTGGCTACTTGGGGCAGTCGACGAACCTGGTGGGAAGACATTTGGAGCAGGTCAATGCAGCCTGAAGGGCGGAGAATTATCTTGACTACTCCCAAGGTATGGACGTAATTCTATTTTGTCTACAAAGCTCAATATTTTTCCTGCACCCAGGCTTTAGAATCCGACTGTGACCGCATTTTTGAGGCGAATAATCTTTGCCCAACAAAACATCCCCGACAAAAATCCAACTATACCATAGATGCGCCAAGCACAGCTTATGGGCGCAAATTCTTGTTAGGATTGGTGGACGAGGCCCATAATTACAGAAATGTAAAAAAGGGTTACTGGGCGATATTTTGCCTTCGCTTGCTATGTCAGGCAATGGTTGCTATGACGGCCACACCCATCACCTCTCGACCTCTTGTGAGTGACTAATGCTATTTATCAACCCACTCAGTCTTTAACGTTAATTTTTCCTTCTTCATTTGGTCAGGATGTGTGGAATATTGGACGATACCTGGGTCTGGAGCTATTTGGCAGCGCTTATGATGATGAGGCCCTGAAAATGGTTCGTCAACTGCGTACTGCTGCTGCAAAGGATCGCAAGCGCTTTCAACAAGGTGACCGCATTGCCACAATAATCATGGGAACGGTAAAGGGTGATGCCGATGTTGAGGTCCCCAGCCTGTATCGTAGTCAGATGCTGATGTGGATTGGCATCATCAGAGAAAGGTTTTCTGGCATTGTTATACGGCGCACAATCTGGTCTGTCGATAGTTGTGGTGCCAGGATATCGGGCTTGGCTCCATTCCAGGAGCATAATCTCCTTGTGAAGCTGTACAGCCATGAGGTGGATAATCTGGAGCGCATTGCCAAGGATTTGGTAGAGGAAGGCGGCACTAGAGCAGCAAAGTTTGCTTCTGGCTCGGTACAATTTGTTTCATTCACCCTCATTCAAGCACTTACCAATCTATCCAGGATTTTTACACGCAGGTCCGCAGGGCTTTATTGCACCCCAGCTGCAACACGGGATATCCATGGGCAAATCCCTCCAGTTTGGACGAGTGGAAGAAGGACCCATCTCGCAAACTCGACGTTCTTGCACAAGTCATTTGTTGGCATCAGGAGCTTGACGGCCATCCACCTCTCCATGTTGTGGATGATAAGCTAACAGCGTCATCTGCAAATCTTGACGTCACTACTAGCAGTATTGCAGACTCTACGCCCCATGACAAAATACTTGTCTACTGTGCATTCCCTTCTAGCTATACACAGGTGCTCAAGGTAGGTGATCATTCCAATTTGCTTTATCGCAATTTAGTAATGTCAATTGTTTGAACTACAGGTTTTAGAGCTCAACGGCATCAAGACTTTACAGATCCACGGCAAATTGTCAACCTCCACTAGAACCAATATCATTTCCCAATTCAAAGTAGTGGACGTGATGGTCCTCGTGTCTTAATCATGTCCAACGTTGGGCTAACGGGTCTCAATTTACCCTGTGCAAATATATTGATCATTGTGGTCAGCATTCGCTTTTCATCCACTCTCCCACCCTTTCATCGGCTATTTCCCCCACGCTTATGCAATTGCAGGACTCACTTTGGTCTGCCACGGATGAAGGGCAGCTGATTGGACGTATCTATCGTCCCCCCCAACCAAAGACCGTCCATATTTACAGAATTGTCGCCGCTGACACTCAGGACGTCTTTCTGAACAATATCTCCTTCAGTAAGGCGGCCATTCTTGACGCATTCACTGGGGCAACACCCAGTTTACGTACGTATCGGCTTGCCACTCTCTACAGTTCAAAATCTAATTGACGCTACACTGCAGGCTCTCTGTTCAATGATGACGACGAAGCGGAGGAAATGAGCACACTTCCTGAGATTGAAGACTCAGATGTCCGTTTGGAGAAGGGGAAAACAAAGTTAAAAACATCAAAGGCTCGCTCCTCAACAAAGAAAGGAGGCCGAGCTAAAGGTAAGGGAACAGACCGGCCTTCGGGAAGGCCATCCGAGAAACGGGTCGTTGAACCTGTTAATGAAGACTCTGTGATCAAGAAAGCTCGAGTTGCCCCTCCCAGCTTTATCGTCCATGATGAGGGCAGCGATTTGCCACCAATTGCCCAGGAGGTCCAGTCAAGCGTTATTGTTGCAGCGGATACTGGTACCAAGAGCGGTAACTCGCAGTTGGGCTCTTCAGTAAGGCTCTAATATCGCTCCCCCCCCCAATCCTAATCTAATGCGGTGAAAAATACTCAGGAGCAGAGCCCCTTGTGCCCAGAAGCGTCTCCCAGACCGAAGTCTCCACCCGCTCTAAGTGCCGCGGTGGATGCAGAGAGTGGAGATATTACACAGTTGGAAGCTCAGGTGAGCATCATATTATATGTAGCGGGTCAACACTCCGTTAAAATGTTATCAGGCTTGCATCTCCTCTAAAGACGACGTCTCCAAAGGTAGTGCAAAAGAAGCCAATGCTATGCAATCCCAGAGATGCCAAGACTCCCAGCCTCTTAAGCGTGCAGCTGACTCTAGTCTAGAGAATCGGGCATCAAAAGTGCAAAAATCGACTTCTGGAGGTGATAGCGACGTTTCCACATTTCTCGCTGATATGCAGCAACGCGGCATAGAAGTTGAACAATTATTTGCTTTTCTTAAATCCCTACCAAGTGAGCGAAACTTTCTCTAGTCAGCCGTATACGCCTTTAACATCTTTCGTATTAACAGATTCATCCTCCCAGAATCCGGACCACCCATTGGCGTCTTTCATTCCAGGATTGAGTGCAGCCACTGGACTTTCAGCGCCTGCGCCGTTGAACCCTACTGATAGCCGGAAGTAGGGACTGGATTGTGTCGTTGTTTGCCTTCAAGCGTAATTCTGAGGAAGTGCGCGTTGCTCTGAGCAAGGGCCGCTGAGCCGGAGGGTACCGTCTAGATCACTTAGAACAGTTCATGCGAGCAAGGATAGTAAGACACGTACTGCCTATGAATGACTCAAACCGGTCGTAGATGTTGATCATCTTCGCGCTCTCAGATAATTTGGTCAAGCGGGTCACCATCCTCGTCATCCCCACTCTGTTGTGCGGGAGACAAGTAGTCCGGGGGATGGGTCAATCCTGCGAGGATGGAGGCACAAGGTGACGGATTGATCAGCTGGAACAAAAAAGAGGGAGCGAATTAGCTTGCATCCACGTAATAACAGCAAGGTTTAAATCGTTGAGTACCTCGGACGGAAACGGCATCGAGCCGGCGTACCAGACGTCCCATAACAGAGCATCTTCCAGTGCGACTATGAGGATCTCGAAGAAATCGCGTACTTCTTGGTTCTGGAACGATATCAGAACTGCCAGAAACTGATATCAATAGCAAACATGACGGCAGACGGGAGACGTGAGTGCGTTGACGATATGAAGCGAAAACACGACTCACGGAACGGTTTAATGGAAATTGCCGATATTTGAGGCGATCCGTGAGATTGAGCACGTTTGCACGTTCTCCCCTATCGAACGGAATGTCTGACGTAGTTGAAGCGTTGCTATCCGCACCAAATTAACGAGTTAACGACAGAAAAGCACGTCGTAACATGCCAGCTAGTTTGTGGGGGATCATTTCGAGTTCAGCCAAAAGGACGGCGGTCATGCTGAGATTGGCTTAAAATCCATAACGCCGTTGCGCTTGTGACTCGGGCGTTCACGGTAGGTATCAAAAATGATACATGTCGAGCTTCCACACACGTCACGTGTGTGGAAGCTCAACATGTATCTTGGAGCCTAAATTTGGAAAGAAATGTTCACGGTTAGTAACTTGCTCCGTTATCATCCGAACTCAACAGAGCCGGTCTTTGGAGCCTTAAGGATGCGACAAGAGTTCTTTTCAAATAAGCGCTCTCGATATACAGAAGGTGAGCGATCGGCCAAGAGTCTGGCACATTGACCCGCTATTTTTGTAGGCCAATATTGAGATGGCGGGAGGGAGCCGACCAAACTCGGAGCAGCCGATCTTGCTGCCGTCCCTCTCTGATGAGGACGGCGAGGCGTATCCGTTGATCGTTGGGATGCTCAGTTCTGTGGACAGTAAGACGACCTCAGATATCTATTCTTAACCTACTAAGTGAGGGCGTTTCATTTTTTACTCACAACATCACTCGTTGTTCACCGCCACTGTAGTCTGACGCAACTCGTTGTCCTGCTGCCGGGCACCGCAGACCGCCAATACCTGCCATACCTATGGTACAGAGACCTCCGCCTTCAATAGATCCGCGACAACGCATTTTCGTTCGCCTCCTCGGTTCTCTCCTCACACGAACCCAGTACATCGTGATCGACCTCACGATCCCTTGTATGTATGTCTGTTTCTCTTATTTCGTTCACATTTGAATCGTCACCATCTAATCTGATTCGTTTGCTACGTCCATTTTCAAGCAAAGCATCCTGCGTATCTTCAATAAGGACGACCAGGACTTCTTCCCGATGGATTTGTCGTACGTGCTCGCAAGGACTTCGTCCAGAGAGGTATGTGGCTCTGTCAGATTGTCTGTCAGATTCTGACATATCTACTGCAGTTCCCGGGGCCAGGATCATTGGGTACCACAAGACTTTGACCCTATCGCCTGCATTGATGCATCACCACGCAAGATCAACTACGTTCTCATCTACCCCACTGCGTCTAACGTCCTCGCCAGTGCATCCAGCGAACACGCAGTTAAGCTTTGGGATCTTGCTGATACCGATCGCCCACGCTCTGTTCTCACCGGACACAACGATACAATTCAGTGTCTCACCTTCAATTCCACCGGCACACTCATGGCGATTCTATTCGATCCTCGTGCTGGTGGCGAAGCTGTTCACATCACTGAGATATTAAGGGCACTCATGCCGTATAGATGTAGTCTCGAAATGTGAATGTGTTTGACCGCTCGTCACGTTCGAGCGCACTGTTGTTTGGCAGGTGTGTTTTTCTTCTTTTTATGGCGAGTTCTTTTCTTTTCTTCCCTGCGTGTGCTAGAATTAATGCGATGTGAACGCGACAGGACGTGATGCCCAAAATGGACGGAGTCAGCGCTTTGAATCTGATCCGCCAGCCCGACCATATGACCCCCATCATCGGCATGACGTCTAATTCAAAACCGAGCGAGATTATGACGTATTATTCATCTGGAATGAATGATATTTTGCCCAAGCCATTTACGAAGGAGGGGTCGTTGGATATGTTGGAGGTGCGTTTTTTGTTTTGTACCGAGGTGTATAGATCGACATTGACACGGATGGATAGAAACACCTGATGCACCTTAAAGTCATCCAACAAATGTCAAAAGTACCTTGTTCGCTCGGTGTTCCTCCTCTCTCAGACCCGTCTTTGAGCGAGGCACTCGCAGTTGGGGCGTCGCAATTACAACCACACAATTCTTCGTCTAATCCTGGCTTCTCGTCTAATTCATCCAGTCTGCATCCGATGTTGGGAACGGGGTACGACGATGATGGACGGATTAACTCGTTGGCAGGGATGGGTCTGTCTGACGAGCGATACGCGGCTATTCTACCGGGTACCGTTTCTCAACCCTCTCTCTTTGAAGAGAAATCACACATCAAATCTAAAACTCCAGCTCCATGCAAGTTAGTATCCCTCTCCAGGAGTTTATAATAACCGTTCTTTCCAGTCTATTTGTTGCATGCGTACGGTTATTGCCCTGAAGATCCGTTGTCTGCCCGTCTCTAGCCATCGCTTCGCGTCGTTGAGCTGTGCAGCGGCACTCTGACAATCGACACACATGATAGCACAAGTGAGACTTTGTACTCCTCATCGGCTTCGTGCCTCACATTTTTGGCTGGGGATGGCCTTTTTGTCACGGTATCGAATCAAATATATGTTTGTCGGGTAGCACCACTGGCGCTCACTACGGTCCACATATCTGTATCTCATCCCGGCGTACTGGCAAGGAACATTTGAAGCCAGCGAGGATGGCCTCGCAATGTGCAGGTACTTGACACGTTGACTATTGCGCGTAACTTGATGCATTAACCTTACTGGGGCTCACAATGGACTTCGTGGCTTCTGTTTGCCTGCAGGTGAGATATGCTTGCTTTTCTGACATGCTAGGGCTATCGTCCCGTCATCCTTATCTTCTATCATCTAGATGTTAGATAGCTCGGGAGCCCAAAGGGGTTTGGGGCATGGAAAAAGAGCTGCCTGAAGTGTTTGGATACATCCAGAGGGCTGCCAGCTGGCCGCTCCATGCGGTGACATCTCCTTTTGAACAAGGGGATAATGCGTCATTGTAATAGCAATTTAATACATATTTATTCTCTTAAGTTTCATCCCACTGTTAACTGACTCAGATGAGCGTACCAGGTAGCTGAGCGCCCATATCATCTAGATTACATCTAGATCCCGCTGGGAAACCTTCGACAATTGCATATGCTGATTCCGAGGCTCCGATCATGGCGACCTAAAAGCCGGCAGTTAGAACCCTGAAATTTCTAAACAACGAATTGGCATCGATATCATGCAGCTATGGGAGATAACAGTAGATCTCCGTTGATGCTGTGTATTGATAATTTAATATTGAAAAATAAGTTGACCTTATATAAAGTACCGTTGATGTATTGGCACAATTTGGCAGCACGAGTGAAACCACGAAGCCGCAGTCCTGAGTTACGTCTTTGATACTCTCCCACTTCTCACAAACCCTGTACACTTAACGCAAATTTATTCGATATGGCTACCATTTTCTCCATGAACTCAGGCTAGCATTCATTTTCCTCTTCACGCTCATATCCTGATGCGATTTATGATAATCTCAGATCCCCATTACAGGGACTCTTTTGAATCAACGGGGAGTGCAGGGAGTGCCGGTACATTTGGTCCAGCACCGGATCAGCCTACACTCGTACTATCAGCTTCTCAAATTGATTGGAGGAGCACTATCCAAATGGCTACGAGTATGTTATTGTGCTATTTGCTACGCAGTTCATATTTTGACCAGCCTTCATGAAGGTTCCCAGATGATCGATATGCTGAGCCATTTGGAGCAAAAGATGGAACAGGTGCTTCAGTCTTCAAATGGGCTCAAGGAGAGTGTAAACGGTATTGAAGGGAGACTCACGGCCCATGCCACCAAACTTGTGACCCTGAAGGCGGAACTCAAGAACGATATCTGCTCGGAGATCAGCGTAGTACGGGCCGAAGTGCAGGCATTGGAGAAGCGTCTCAATGACAGGTTTGATGAGATGAGTGTGTCCCAGAAGACCTTATTGGATAAAATCTTGGATTTGTTTAAGCTGTAATAGTAGCTATAGCGACAGCAGCGCGTTCAAAGATGTTGTTATAGGATTTAGAATGTGTACCAAAGGTTTTCATCCCACGACTCGGAACTCTCACCTATGTTATATCTACCTCCAGTAGCTTTTACCTCAAAATATCGGTGATTCATAATTGCGTGCATATTATTTCGTATTTCGTATTGACGGCGTGACTTGTCAAGCTGTTGCGCAAAGGCCTACAGCAAGCGCAGGGACTATGCTCAGCGAGAAAGCCAGCGTGAAATTGACCCGCTTCTTGGACAGCCCTCATCCTCGACACCACCAGATGATTCCAGAGACCCGACGATCCGGTTCACTGAGGGTATCCCCGACTTTGACCTCACAGTCCATACGAAGGACACAGTCAGGGACGTTAAAGCTAATGTGCGTGGTTGAAAATATGCAGATAAACGCAGATAGTCAAAGGTCTCCCCCAATTGAAAGATTGACTTCGTTTCATACACGCTGGGGGCCTGCTAACGGATGGAACACTCCTTCACAAATGGCTGGCAACCCTCGAGGAGCGGCAAGTTTGTGCCTCCGCCCGTTCACAAGATGTTTCAAAAGAGGATCAAGAGTCGCTGACGTGGTTGCATTGTTCTGTTGGCCCCGTGATCGAGCCTGGGGAGAGTGAAGAGGAGAAACCACAGGTGCGTGGTGCACGGATATATTGATTCGCGTTCACTGATTTCTTTTCGCCATAGGTTGCTCAACTACAACCACTGAGGGGATTTGACAGGCTTGCTGCTGCAGGATTCTCTGACAGAGGTCAGCCTTGTAACATGTATGTCATGTTGATATTTTGACCGTTTGTACAGTATCCTGGTCTCCCAATGGCAAGCGCCTCGTGCTGGGTACGAGAAGCGGTTCTATCGTTACATATGCACCTACTTCTACATCCACCCCCGAATCCAGCATTCCAAGCCCGCCCTCAGCGTCTAATGCCTGCGTCATATCTACAACTTGCTGTCTACCTTCGGCCAGACATCACCAACCAATGCCTTCCGCCAGCAAACCACATCTGCCTTTGGACAGTCGTCACCAACTTCGGCATTTTCGCAGCCCTCTTTTGGCCAGTTATCATTCGGACAAATCGCACCTACGTTCGAGTCCGCTGCTCCATCAGCCTCGCTATTTATTCAAGCTGGGAAGTCTGCTTTCGACACTACTCCTACTTCGGGAGGGTTTGGGGCGTTTGCCACTGCGGAACCCTCGAAGTTCGGACAGACAGCGTTTGAGTTTGGAGATGCGCAAGCTAACGCGCCTGTCCAGAGTGCACCAACATCGGCGCCTGCAGAAGATAGTATGGCTGGCAAATATCGGTAATCCTACTATCGTACCCATCAGCACTTACCCTTTTATTGGTTCTTATAGTCGTAATGTTTACCACCTGACTGCTAGGTCCCACAAGTCACTCCCCGTCATCGCTCTCGGCTCGCGAAATCTCTGCGCCATCCCCATCGGCACTTCTCCTCTGACCACTCCTCCCACATAGGGTTTCACATTACCACTGCAAGCGCGTTCCGTTACAGCCCCAGCGCTTCGAATGGGATCGATAAAAACTGGGGAGGCCGCCCCCATCCAAGACACGTTGAGAAGCGCAGGGCATTTTCCGTTGGTCATTACTTGGCCCGGTAGTGAGGAACGAAGCTGCTGTGGGTGAGAGTTTCGTCTTGTACGTTTTGCTGCACCACGTCTGATCAGTTTCATATGGATGCTGCTTTTAGCTGCATGAAGTACAAACGAATGGCTTCCTACTGACCACGCAATGCGAATGGCATTAGATCTTGGTCTTTCGCTATCTGTTTCTCCAGAAACACGATTCGATGAACTATATCCTCTGTTGTGCGAATGCTATTCCCATCTCCCTGCTTCAGAGGACTTGAGAATTTCATGTCATGCTGGATCTGTCCCCACGTCGGACACTCTTCGTCAATTCGCGTCTTTTCTCTCCCTGCAAAGTTCGGCAGCTTTCACGAAGCGTATCCACGTCTCTCTCAACACTTTCAGCAATTTCGTTCCCTGCACATCGCCATTAAAGACTGGACCCTCGCATCAAGTCCAACGATCCTTGGAACCGCAAGACTCTCGAATCAATCCTCATTGCTATGATCCTGGTATTATTATTTTATGTATTTTGAGAATGATTCACCGTAGATTCATTTATCATCTTCCTATCAGCTTTGACGGCACTCTGCTATCAATTAACGCAGCTCCACGTTAGGGTTACCGCTGCTTCGCATTCGTCCTCGAAGCCATCACGTTCCGAATCGCTGAGTGCAGTGAGTCTAGCGATAGCATGCCGTCATCTCAATCATTCCTCACTGAGATATCCAGCGTATAAATTTCGCAATTTGCCTCCAAATCACGACTTCTACATGCGGTGCTCGTCTAGGCCGTTCTGCCGTCTGAAGCGTATTTCAGAGCTTTACTTTAGTACCCCATTTCAACATCAAAACCAAGATCCGATCCTTGCACCTATAATACCCAGGGACGATCTCTGCAGCAAACACAGTAGCGTCTTCTCTCTATGTTTCGCGGTACGTCCTCCAGTAGAGCAATTCTGATTATTCTCACTTATGTTCAAGGCGTTGGAGCAGCAGGTGCTTGACTCTCTCGCTCTTTTCATGACGTGACCTCAAGTCCCTAAGCTCGAAGCGAAGCGTTTACGGACCCGAGACGAAAACAGACCATCATTAATCTTTTGGATGTTCTGGGCAAGCTTAGCAATGAGGCATCTTCAGACAACGGTTAGTCGTTCCACGCTAACCATCATACACTACTAATTATATATTTTAGATGCCAACATTCCCTCTAATTTCGAAGATGACCGAGACGTCCGTGAGTGGTCGTCAGCGCATTACTCAATCGTTGTCTTAGTTGTTTTTCAGCTACTGTGGATGAAACTACGTTGCTCGCTGTTAACAGTGTTTTCCTAGTATTGGGCTTCGTGTCTTCAGGAGTACAAAGGTTGTGTGTCTACATGGGCTTTCATTGGGCATCCTTCTCAACTACTTTCAAGTCAATTTCGGTATCCAGCGGTGCAGCGTTATATCCATGATTTGACGTCAGAAATTGGGGAGCCCATTGACAACATCGCGGTCAATCTATCGACGTTTATTGAAATCGGTATACATCCAATCTACCCTTAGCACTTTCAAACTTACGTTCTCTTCTAGGCGTACCAACGATTGGGTTCGCCCAGCAACATGCAGCAGCAAACCTGCTAAACTTGTCGACAGTCGCGATGTTCTTCTCAGCTGTGACAGCAACGACCTTACAATTCTCATACCAGTTGGAATGCTGGAAAGTCCGCTCATGCGTTTTGGTTCTCCTCGTTGTTTTTCAGTATAGCAGCCGCAGTGAACGATCTCCTTGGTCTCACCTGGAAGCAAGCTAGTAAGTCTATCATCGTCCTGCCAGTTCCCGTGTCTAATGACAGTCATTCAGTCGCTTTCCGGCACGTACTAGTAGGGTACTTCCTTCGCAGTCGATCAGAAGAAGGCCTGAATGCAGGCTCGTCGTCTATGCTATCCTTTTCCTACCTTCCGTTAGCGCTTGCACTAATGTCATCCCTCCCGTTGTATACTATGTTCCATCCATTCTGATCCCTTCATCTTTGCTTTTCGTTTGTCGAGTTCGGTCGCTTTGCTCGTTGCGTACTTGCTGTTGTCTCATTTGTGCTGTCTTCTTTTCTTTCTTTTCATTTCTGATGTACTACTAGTATGCGTGTGCTACTATGTCTTGCCATAGTCCAATGCAAGACTCACTGCCTTCGTTCATCCATCGATCGATCGATCGACGCCTCTGTTCGATGCGTTGTCTTTTTTTCTCAGACCCCAACCATTCGACGCGTTTCGATCAGGTGGACGATGCCGACAATATTGCCTTCACGCCACCTACGCTGGAGGTTCCGTATTTTGCCCTTGATACCCTGAAACGTTCCTTCATATGTGCTAATTCGACGATCCCAATTTCGCAGCTCCGAAGGTTATATCGTGCGTTGCCTGACTCCGAGGTGCTCGAGGAAATGATCACTGTTGCAGTGACTTCATATTTTCCGCCATGCCATGATGGGCGGCCCCCACGAGCAAAGACCTTAGACTTTTCCTTATCGCCTCGATACCTACCAACACCTGGAAAATCACAAACGGGCATACTCCCCGCTGATTTCGTCTCGAGGCTATTTCAGAAGGCAATCTGGACGGAATCTACGTCACGCATTGTGTCTGGGCTGATATATACTCAATACAATGTTGCAAAGGAGTTTGTCGTGTGGTTCAATTCGGGAGCTTGGACGACTATTCCGCTTGAACCTCTGCTACCAGCAGTGCATGCTGTTTTGAGTTCCCTGGATGGTGACGCTATTGATTTGTTTCATGGTAGCGTCATGACTGCGCTCTTTGATCTTATGTTGCCTCAGCGTCGTCGCCCTGAAGGCCTGAACGTTGTGCATCCGCTGTATCTGCATCTTAATCAAATCAGATGCAGCTCGTAAGCGACGGCTCGCCAGCCTGCTAGAGAGGATATGCAACCTGCTGCTGACCGATTCACCCTCGAAAGAGTGCGCATTGCCTCTCGCTTGTACTCATTTTCTCTACTGACCGATCTCGTGACAAAATTGAGCGTGGACTGCAATGGGGTATGCGCCATTCCCTGGCCCTGAAGGCGAAGATGGAGAAGACCGATTAATTCTAGCCCAATGAAGTGCGTCGGATTGAATTTTTCATGTACCTCGGCTAAATTATGCTCGCAGCGAAATTCGCCAAGCAAGGATTCAAGGCAAAGGCTTACTTTGTAGAGCCTCTATTGACCGCCACCATCCAGAACCGACTTGCTGATGCCGCTGCTCTCGATGATGGCTGCAGTGCTCACTCCTCAAGGTAATGTTATTTTGTCCTCTTGTGCAGCTTCAGGCTCAATATGTATGTTTTCAGCTCGTCGTTGTAAATCTAGCTCTGCAGAATATACTTCCCAGTTTGATGCAGTGCGTGGATCCCATAGTACCCTTGCTGGGCCTATTCATGTTAGCATTGGCGTGGAAATCTGTGGAGGTCCGTGCGTTATCTTGTTGTTCGCTATGCTCACCCCTTGTCAGCTTTCGGATATGCAAGAAAAGCAGCACGCGCTGTATATCTTCAACCTCCTGAAGAACCTAATCAAACCCTCATCCGATGGTCCTCTCTTACGATTGCCTTCGCACGCATCATTGATTCAATCTCACGCTATTCGTGGGGTATTTTATCCTTCTGATTTCATCTACCCGCGCACGGCGCGTTTCCTTCTTCAGCGCCCAGAACTTGACGTGATCCGATGTGCCAATGCTATACGGCATGCTCTATGGCAGTTCGGATGACTGGAAGAAAGAGCGTGGATGGATTGCCAAGTTCCTATCTTACGGCTTGATGAGCGCAGAAGATTAGAAGGTGCTTAAATGCCGACATAGTACATGGGAGCTTCTTTCAAGTCTTGTGCAGAGCTCAGTTCGCGATCAAGCGTTGCGACGCACAGTACTGGAGGTCTGTGGTGCCAGCGCTCTCGTTGACCCTTAATTCGAATTATTTTACAGGTGCTTGCCAACCTGACTTCTAATGACCAGGCAACGAGTTCCCTCGTTTTGAAGTCATCTCTCCTATCCTGGATCGAGATGCAAGTACAACTGCCACGAAGCAAAGAAGACGCCTAAAGATCCTTGAAAACATTCTGATCACAGCCAATACTGCGAAACTGCGGCGGGCTACGAACAAGATGCTCTGTGCAGACCCTTGTCGTTGATATGCACTCACTACGAGGATTACGACAGAGCCATCTAGCTATACTCAGCGGCGATCGACCTGGATTTTGCCACTGCTACCATCTTTGCAAATCGCAGTAAGGCAAGCTCGAACAAAATACTATGGGATGATGCATTACTTGATGCGCAAAAAGTGTGATCCACATATGATGTCCAGGCAGACGGGCTTCATGATGTGCTGATCCCCACGGAAGACAAGCAGATGTCATTCCCGCGGGCAAGGCCGCCCGCTTGGCAGACTCTACTGCTTGTCCATCCCTGGGTCCGCCGTCTTCTGGAGCTACCTGACTTTTCAGACGACATACAGAGGGCATACAGAGATTGGAGGATTGGACCCCGCCCGGGTCTCCCGTTGAGTACAGGCCAGTTGATTCGGAATTTGACTCACGAGCGTTGCGCATGATCGTTCGCCTTGGATAGCCCTTCAGTGCATTTTTGCTAGCGCTACAGCGCGACGGGGAATACAAGAGAATTGCGTCACATCATGATATCATTGCATAAGTCAAAGACATTTCTTCAGTTCCCCACATCGCGAATGTCAGGACGCTCGAGATTTTGTAGTTGTGCATACACTTATTACAGAACTCTCAGCAGTTTCATTCTCGATAACTACTTGTATACGCATATATGTACACCAGGCTGTTGCTCGCGTATTCACCGTATCTCACTACTAAGGATCCAACAACCGCCTTATCGCCCTCGCCTGAGGGCGCAGATAGAATATAGATGCGTTGTTCACCATCATTTTCGGATTCCAGTAGTAATTCGCTATCAACTCCAGTTGGTGCTGGCGGCAAAGAAAACGCCTTCCAATGAATCCCAAAATTCATCCACTCGAGGAATTTTGTTACGATTATCCTCTCAATTTTTCGGCTGCTGCAGCTGGTGAAAAGACGGAGAGCGCACATTCTCTGATCTCGGCACAACGCAATCTGCGCGACGGTGTAATCTCTTAGTCAACATATTCAAAACGCTCGGAAAAGATTGTGCACACCTGAAGCATGCAATCATCATTACTTGAGGCCACACCAGCTTCGGTCTGCCAGAGGCAGGCACATTACCGGCCGCGCCAGTACGCTATCATGACTGCCAGAGTCTCAGTCAGCTGACGTCGTTCGCAGGGACAATATTAAACTCGGACTAGAATTCAGAGCATGATCCACGGTACATTCAGTCGCATCTAAATTGTATCTGAAATCTCCATAATTGATCCACCGCTCCGATCACCGTCGGTGCTAAGGTCTGCAAGTATTGGTTTTAGTAATTGCGAGGAATGGAAAGGGCTTTGAAGAGACTCACTGCTCCCGGCACTTTTAATCGACCTCGGGACCTCCTCTGGGTATCACTAATACAGTTGCAGGATTATCGAATGAGTGTCGAGAAGTGGGCAGTACCCAGAATAACAGACAGCCGACGTTTGGAGCCAACCACCTATCCGTCGTAAGCATTGAGGACAAACTGCGGTCGTCATGGGATGCTGGCTCTATTAGCTCCGAAGTGTTGCGCAGCGCATGAATGGAGTTGGACGAGAAGAAAATGAAGTGAATGTTCCAAGTGTTCAATGTTGTGGTAGCGGTGGCCTCGATCGTGCAATATTAAATATCTCGATAGCGGAGAATTGGCAGGCAGGCAAGAATGGGAGTGCCGATACATACACATGTGGCGTGCTAGGGATGAACCTCTGTACGTCCATTGCGGTAGATGAGACATCTTTGAATTCGGAATGGCCCTGTGGTTGCGCATGAGCGCTTTATCAAACGCTCAGTAACAATATAGTCACCTTCAGCCACTGGGAAATGAGTGAGAGGGCAGGAACTGCGCTGCTGAGCTATAAAACTAGGACCTGCGTCAATCGCCTGTTCACATGGAACGAAGTGAATCTGCGTGGATTTCCGGCTGACGCGCTGAACCTTACCGCACCGACGTTACCAGACACGTAGTTCCCTTCAACAATGGTTCCGTCGAAATGAATTGTCCGGTAGGTCTACCGATAAGAATTAGTTAGACGGGATGCTTGAAGGCGCAGAAAGGGCGACCTTGGAGATAACTGATACCTATGTCGGCGGTTCCACCGCCTTGACTCTTGGCCGATCGCTCACCTTCCGTATATCGAGAGCGCTTATTTGAAAAAGAACTCTTGTCTTTTATGGTCCTATTAGATGTTAAGTACTTTTGCTCGATGGACTATGATGCATTGATGTTTGAGAAGGATACAATTGTACTCTGTTAAGGTGCGAACGAAGGACTTGTGTTGTCAACTGTACAATTACAACGATTACCTAAACCGGCATCACCGGCATCTGTCAAATTTCAAACTCCTCGCTTTCGCCTGCCAAATTTCTCCGAGATCGACCAGTCTGACTACGTCAAACACTTAACATCTCAAAGACGTAGTCCAGACTGGTTACGAGTCTAGTGTTTTGCGGGAGGATCGGATTTTCGAGGGCTACAAGATGAGATAGTTTGTCAAATTTTTGGTATGTTAAATTCCTGAGTGATTGATATCCCGATATCCCGCAGCTGTGTTGATCGCTTCTACCGTCCAATCAGTTCCTGTGACAGTCCAACTCGCCAAGGATGAAATTGATCGAGCAACGAATCGTGCTTATCGGCTGCTCATGCCGCACATATGCCTTAGTTCTTGTTCAGGCACGTTCATCAGGCTAATTGTTCGAAGCTATATTAACGTTTCGTCCAGTACTCATCCGTTAGATCAAGATTCAAGAGCTACGCTACGAGATCCTTCCTTTTGGTTGAAGAGCTTGCATCTAGATGTTGCCCGCGACTGTATGCTGCGCGAAGGTCTGTATCGCGCAGCATCATGATATTCATGGTTTGCTGTTCGGCCACAGTTAGTATATTTCCCAGATGTCAGTGCTTGTGCGAACGCTGATGCTGTCCAGGTGGTCTCCTGGAGCCAATCGAGTGCAGGTGGACGCTGACATCAAAGTACTAGTCATGTTGGGATTTCTTGCGCATCTCCAGGGTGACTCGATCAGGAATATGTCATCTCTGTTGAGTCTTACTCCTCATCAGTCTGCGTCAAAGATGTCCCGTGAGCATAGCAAACATTTTTTTCCCCTTTGTATTGAACTTTGAACTGATCGGTTGTAGTTTATGTCACATCAGCCAGCCACTGTCTTCTGATAGAGAATGAGGTATTTGGGCTTACGGTCCGGGTTAATCCTAGCAACGAAGAAAAACGAGGAAACACGAGGCAGTGACCCCCATAGCCTGTTCGAGCGCAATATGCTTGGGGTAAGCACCTTGATGACTCTGGGATTCATGCATTCCAATAGTCGACTTGGCCTGGCGTAGTCCGAGCAATGCGGGAGGTAGACCCAGCCATAGCGGTCTATCCGGCCGAACATTTGAAAAGCCCAGCAGCTCATGCTGAGGTGCAGAATCGGGTCCGGTCCAATGCTACCGGGTAGCCGATACTTCAGAAGCTCTACAATTTTTGATCAGGGATTCCTTCCGAGGTGGACAGACGAGACTTGCAGGTGATTGTTGTTCTGCGATATTGTGATTCCAAAGTTTACGTTTTTGTCAGTATATCATCATTCGAACGCCTGTCACTCTTGTGATCGCTGTTACTTTTATCGAGCGACGACACGGGTCACACGGCAACGATCCGCTCTTGCCCATCGAGTCCTAAAGCAGCGTCCTGTCAACCTCACATTCTTTTTCATTCCTCAAGACGTCCGGGTCCTTTGGTTTGGTGGCCTCGGTGTGTATCTGTCACCTCCTGCTGGTATGGTTTCTGAATGTCCGCTTTAGGATATATCACACAGTTCATCTTCAAAACCGCAAAGGTGTCTCAAGTCTTTTGCCACCAGAATATGGAACACGAAAGTCAATTGCTTCAAGGATGATGCTGCCGAAATCGTGAGTTCGATGCATGTTTTTGCATCTCTCCACTGACACGAAGTTAGGAAGATTCATGAAGCTCGCGCTAGATCGGATGTCTGATAGGGTGGTGGATTCGCCGTCTGGTGATGCCTGTGTATTTTTACGATCGGGAATTTGGATTCCTCAACAAGGTTGTCTGGATCTCTGGGAAACTGAAGCGCTTCATGAAATAGTCGAAACCTGAGAAAAGGCGAGACCGTCGAAATTTGTCCTAGGATATGATTTGACGTGTCTTTACAGGCAAAGATCGACGAAGAGATGGTCAAGATAGTTGTTGATGTTGGAGTCTACCTTCCCAGTCACCCAGACGGTAGTGGTATCGACGTTGATAGGAAGTCCAGTCGACCGATTCAAAGCCACTCTAAGGTGTGTAGATCACTCTTTCGCTTTTTCTTTCCTCAATATAATTTCACCGAAGGCATCGGTCAATAATGACCCGCTCCTTCCTCAAAAAAAGTAGCCATGAACCGGAGTCTAATGTTCTGAGTCGGGGAGGGCGGGTCACGGTGCGCCATCAGTTGAGCACCTATAATCAGGATAGGTGCACGGATACGATTTCTGCGTGGAGGTCTAGTAGATTGGTACATGGAAGAGACGGAAAGTACAAAAAAAATAGAGCAACAAATCAATCAATCAAGGACGCTCACCTCCCTCCCCTAAAAAATACCGTATCAACCCTTGCATTAAGCTATCCTGCTGCGCCGTCCCCTTTTGAAATTGACCATCTCAAAAAGCACGTCTCCGTACTGTCGCTCCAACACCCTAATACGAGCCCTTCCGACTTGATTCCTCAAAACTCTCATTTGTAGCGAATAGATTATCATTTTGAGCGCGTAAAGTCGAATGGGATGCAAGTAGAGAATCCGTCTGTCCGCGCAGCGTCTCGTGGGATGATAAAAGTGTATCATGCGACAAATAGAGCGATTGATAAAAGTTTTGCAGGACGCCAATGTGCGATTGCACAGTTGCTAATTCGGCGCTGCTAGTTTCACAGGGCTGCCGGAGCTTGTGGCGGGACCGAGTGGATCTGATGAGTGGGTTCTCTTTTCATCTGCCTCATCTCTCGCTGTGATATGTCGTCTCTTGAATTTGAGGTGCGATGGATTGTCGACGACGACGACGATGGGCCCCACGAAACTGGAGAAAGGTGGCGATAGGGCGAAGAGTCCATTGCAGCCATGGGAGGGAGAGTTGTGGCTGATGCGCGCTGAGGGAGATTGATAGCCGGTAGCTGAACTTGTGAGGGCAGTAATTGATGCGAAGTAAATAAACGAACTGAAGAGCAAGTAGGACCTGTAGCGGTGTGGTGGTGGTGGTGGTGGTCCATGCGCATGGCTGTACCAGCGCCAAAGAAAAGGCGTCTTCCAACTGGTTTCCACCCGACGAAACTCAAACTCACTCGATGATCTCAAACAGTGCCCTTTTTCCCTCTCTCCCATCGCCCTCATCGTCCAGTTCCCGCTTCTCCCCTCCCATCCCGGGACCCAAAGCACCAGCGAGACCGAACGAAAAACCCTCTCGAACTCCTACGCCCGAGAAGCTCTCCTGGGTAACGATATCTCTCAGAATAGCCGCGTATCGCTCGTCAGACAGACCCATCCCTGCCAACGAGTTAATCCGTCCATCATCGTCGTACCCCGTTCCCAACATCGGATGCAGACTGGATGAATTAGACGAGAAGCCAGG